CATAAAGTAAATAATTACTAAAAATATTTTACAGTAATTCATTCATTATTTTATAATAACAATATCACGTTAATCACTACACTATGTGGGCGAACAAAATTATAAAGCTAACCCTGGAAACTTGTGACGTCAACCGAAAAATGGCGTACATATTTACCTTTTATATATTCCTTTTTTTTTTACTTACCTAAAGAAGGAATATTTTCGCCTCTCTTCACCAACTCGATCACTTCTATTTATACAATGTTTTACAATACACTTGCCCATGATAAAACGTCTAATTATCGAAATCACAGCGATGCGTACACGTCAAATGCTAGGACACGACTGAGCGCTGGGCTCCAAATCAGGCTCCAAAGTGTTTTCACCAAAGTCGCTCTATAAGCCAGTCTAGGTGGTCTGTGAACTTCAACATATCAATGATTTGTAAATTCGCAATTTAGTCCAGGAAACGAAGGGAAAAATAGGGTAAAATCTCCGAAATTTTATGAAAATTTGGAATTTCAAATTTCAAATATTACTGGAAATGAAAATTTTCCTATGCGCATAAAAAAACCGTGGGCTCAACTTTTGGCGGCACAATATGTTAAAAAAATTCGAAAAATGCCATATTTTTCTTTCTATTTAATTACGTATGTATCTTTTCAAGAGTTGATTTTAGGCGAAAATGGAAAAGGAAAGAAATGTTTGTAATCTAATAAATTATGATTATTATTGTAAAAATCGAAAAAATCGACAAAAATGGGGTTAAACAACTTACTACTTTTTAGGGATTTTTTTTGGGGTCTTTAAATCGGGTATAGGACCTTCATACTTGGCTCAAGAAAACTTCATGTTATGTGGAATCATTACACCAAATTTCATCAAAATCGGTTCTATAGATTTTGCATAATAATTTTGCAATCCAGATTTTGAAAAAAAATTACAAATCTTCAAAATTTTGCACAGCAAAAACCAAGGCCCTTAGATAATTGAAAATTGAATTACATATAGAAGGGCTCTCAAGCTTTCAAACGCTTTTTGAAAAATTCGAATCCATTAATTAGGAGAGCTCTGGCGCTTGTTTAAACGTTGGTCGAATTTTTGTACTTATAAACAATTAGAATAACTTTGTGAATATTCAATCAAATCAAATTTTTTAAAGCAGGTTTTAAAAGTTATTGGAAAGACGCTTTAAAAAAAACAGATCGATTGGTCAGTTAGTTACGTAGTTATAGCCGATCAAATTTAATCTTCATTTACACCAAATGTACTGGGACATCCGGGCTAATTTTTCGAAAAATACCTTTGGTATTCCGAGTACTTACCAGGCCAAAGTTTGTAATACTTTTCTAAATTGGCAACCTACTTTAAAACGTGTAAGTTATTTATGCAAACGAGAAAATCAAAAAAATCGTACGGGTGGCAGAGAGCGCGGCCGCTTCGGCCTGCTCGAAACTGAATCGTCGGGCGAGTTGAATACCGCGACACTCTTAAAAATTTTTAATATCTCAGCTTCTAGAGGTCCGATTTTGATGATTTTTTTTTAAATCGACGTCTCGCGATTTATAATAACAATTAGCATATTTTCAAATGCCTATCGTTAATAATTATTGGTCTTTCAACAGTCCGATAATTATTTATCTTTAAACTTCCTTTAATTATCATCTTTATTTTTTTATTGTATCAAAGGTAAGTGCATAAACTTATATACTGTTTATCAAAAATCAAAAACAAATTTATTTAAATTTTCTAAAATTGTTTAAACATCAATTATTTTCAAAATATGTCGAAAATTAATAATATAATGAGTCCAAATTTCACATCAATCGGTTCTATCCGAGAATTCGGACTAATTATAAAATATAACATTATTTTCGCGTAATTTAACATCTAAGATAATCTCTGGCAATTTCCACAGTACTTTCATCAATCGTAAATATTTCAATCCGTTCCTTTTTGCTTGGGACAAACATCATAACTTAAATTTTAACTAGACGACGGTAGTGACATCTCTTGTCGTGTCGCTATTGTTTATTAAACCCGAATCTCGCCTGCAAGTTAATCCCCGCCCCCCCCCCCTTACGAGCGAAATACCTTCTTCGAGATTTTGTACGTTTAATATGCGAGATTAAGACTTTAATCACAGAACACAAACACAAAACACTGTATTTATTTAATTTACATACCACGCGAATTGCGATTACTTGCGAATTCATAGGGCACAGGGCAGGACTGGCCCAAAGATAAAACATTACAATGCCATTAAAACAAAGAAGTAGTTCATAGTTGGCTGTGGAGATTCTTCATCGAGCTAATTTTCGACATATCTCATGGGCGCACAATGTTTAAGGGGGCTCTATAGTAAATAGGCAACCAACAATACATTTTTATAGATTTTATTACACAGTTTGTCTAAATACGAATTAATGCACGACTTTCCTCCATTCTAACGCAGATTTTCTATAAAATAGACTTAGTTTGAAACTCAAATTGCTTGTTGGTGTAAAGAAATTTATAATTTACAGTGCCGCTTGTTCGAAAGCTGCAAATTAAGGGACATGATAATTATTTATGTCATCGTAATTGCTCTCGGAACAAGAAATATTTAAAAAATAATAATTCTGACAATTTTAACTTTTCAGGTAAGCGCATGGGTGACCCAGCTGATAATAACCCAGCCCACGCATGATGCCCGAAGAGCTGTACTGTCGTGCGTCCTGCGGGTTGCCCTCTCCTCCTGGAACATCGGTAATTTCAATGGCGCCATGGAAATCATTGCCGGCCTCAAGTAAGTCCATATTTCACCCTTACTATCTCTCTCCTTCCCCCAACTTCACGTGTATTTTGATTCTTTTGATTATTTTACAAAATATCTGAACACCCTGTACATAATTGGTCCTTAAGTAGGCCGGAGTACTCTCGATGTCGATCTGTACTCCAGTACCAAAATCAGACTTTCAATAACACTTATTGGATGTAAAATATCAATAGTCTTTTCCATTTGTACGCTTATGACACGCACTGACATGCCTGAACTAATTATCGGAACACTATGCGAAATGTACGCCACATTAAAGTTTCCGTACAGAGAATACACTCGCTTATTTTTATTTGTTTCTGACTCTACTGCTCGTTATAGTCCAGTTACTCAGGGTTTTTACCTCCGAATTCTTTATAACTGAACCGATTGACGTGAAATTTTGACTGAATGTGGGGAATGCCTCAAGGAACAACATTTATAGTGCCGAAGTGTGCTTTTGCCCCGGGGGTGGTTCCCACCCCTTCTTGGGGGTGGAAATTTTTACGCCCAAAATAACACAGAAATCGATAGGGGAGTCAGTTTTAAGTAACAAATGTTATATAAAGTTTTTTGGATAATCCAATGCTTTCCGAGTAATTCATCATTGAAAATGTTGATTTTTTACTGAAAAAGTGCTTGTTTTCGGACAGTTTTTTGCAAATAACTCTGAAACCATTGGATTTAACGAAAAAGTTGTAATGAACAAAGAGAATGGTAATAAATAATTATTTTGTTTTTCTCTAATTGCAATATAAACCGAGTTATGGATTTTTAAACATTATTAAATGTTAGCTAAAAACTAAATTGGAACCAGTTAACGTTAAATAACGCCAAAATCATAAATATTAGGAAAAAAACTATTTGATCCTTTTTTAAAGTACTTTGAAAACCTTTAAAATGAGCTATTTTAAAAGTATTTAGAATTAAAATTAACGGAAATATGATCGAAATAACATGATAGTCTCAACAAATCAGTGCCTTTGGCGACAGAATTAAAATTAATTGCAATCCATTTACAGATTTCTTCATTTATGTTTTAAGAATATGTTCTGGGTCTTTGGCTCACTTACAAAGCATGATTTCGAAAAAAACTTAATTTTTGAAAATGTAAATTTTTCAATTTAAAAAAAAAATCGATTTTTACGCTGTAACTTAAAAATTAAAGGGTGTACGAAAAAAATACAAGAGTAAAAAAATTTAGCTTTATTTTTGCTGAAGATTTTGCTTTTTTATTTATTAATCGAGATATCGCCATTTTAAGTTATATGAATGAGAGAACCACCCTTTTCGAGCCCTTTAAACCCTTCAAACTTAAAAATGAAGGGCTTAAAAAAGATTAACTCAACAGTTCACGTAGCCCTTACAATTCCCTGCAAAATGAGCCTTTGTGCGATTAAAAAAAGTAAGAAAATTATCGTCAAAAAATAAACATGTGTATAGGTGATAATTTTAAGAAAATTTAGGTCAAACAAGAATTTTGAAGCATTTAGATCTTTTTTGTATATGTACGTATTTCGACATGTGGAATATGATCCGGCGACAACTGTCTAAATTCTCCTCCAATCATCGAAGAGGACCATCATGATTGTGAAGAGAATAGCAGTGACGACAAATAATCATTTACATAATTATAATGTTTTTTTTGTATTTATTATTATTAAAAAGGAAATTAAAAATTTATAAAATGATCTTAATTTTGTGTNGTATAAATGTAAGGGGTCATTTTTAAGGGTTGAAAAGTTGCAATCAATTCAAAATTATTTTATAAGAAGAGAATAAATGTTTATTTAATACGAATGCACATTTAAAATGTTTCTACTCTTTCAATAATATTTTTTCATTCTATTTTCGAAAGAAGGAGTATTTTTCAAGGGTTGAAAAGTTGCAATCAATAAAAAAATCAATTTTAATTTGATAAAAATGCATGATTAAAACGTTTCAAGTTGAAAAAAATTTTTTTATATTATTTTCATCCAAAGGTTTAAAAGGTTTTTCCGGGTTGAAAATTAAGGATAATTAAGTTTCATTTAGATAGCATATGAAATTACTCATACTGCATAAATAAAAGAGATTTGATTACATAAAATGCTTAAATTTGTATTTTTTTAATTTTTTACAATAAAGGGTGGTTTTCACCCCCTTAAGAACAAAAAGCACACCTAGCGCATATATAAGTTTTGAAGTGGGGGGTAAGACGAGCCTAATTCTAAATTTTGAGAAAAATCGATGCAGTTATAAAAAATTCGGAGATATTTTCAGCTTCATTAACTGGGCTATTACGTTGACACTGCACTGGAGTATTATTTCATTTAAACGACGCAATGGAACTGATAAATTACGTTACGGTTCGCAATAACGCAGCGCATTTTCGTTATTTAGTGTTCCCTCGATTAACGCGACGTTTATCCAAAACAGACATTAAAGTTGGCGCTGAAAAACTTCATAAATTCGAAAGCGGGCGCGGGCATAGTTTTAACGAAGTGCGCCGCGGAAATCGATATGAGGCGCGTGTTTTGTATTTGCCTAACAGATGCATAACCATAAATTTCGTCGCCGGGCCCAGTTTAGCCAACCAACAGGGGAGCCATAATGACTAGGACGGAGAAAAATGTATTCGTGAGGACCGGTTAATAGTGTTTACGCAACGTTACGCTTTGAATACCAACCAGAGCAGGACCGTGTGTGGGCGTCAGGAGGGGGATTTGTTTTTGCAATTTTGAATCTCTTTGTTGGAGCTTGCCATATGATTATGGGGGTTTTCCAGGTAAAAAAAATGCTGAAGTTGTGACATAATCGTAAAGAATACTGTGTATACTATCAGTGACTATAACAATAGTCACTGATACTATTTATAACTTTTGAATCATTTGACAAGGTCAGTAAATAAAGAAGTACACTACTGAACATCTAAATTAGTTCTTAAACTGTAAAAACTATTACTGGTATTCCGAACCTGGCGAATATGTAAGTTAATTTAATGCTTAATTCCCATCGAATCAATCTTTGTTTTATTAATTAAGTAACGTCGATAAACATTAAATTCATTGACTTAATTTGATTCGTCCAGCAGGAACTAGACCCAATAATAGATTGAATACATGAATACATAGTAACAGAAAAATATGGATATATAGACAACGAAATAATAATGAAAACAAACAAAACTATAAATTATGTTAAAAACACACAATTGTCAACTAATAAAAAATAATGTATGTATAGATAAATAATGAAACGGCAATAAAAAAATATCAAAATGCAAGCAATTAATTATGTTAAGGAAATAGGTATAATTATTAATGAATAAAAAACACACATGAATATGAATTTTAGCAAACAAAATAGAGAATGAAAAAACAAACAGAAAACCTCAATTACGGAAGAAGAAAAATCTTTTAATGTCTGTAACACTATTATTTTAACAATTTTTTTCGGATTGTTGTTTACAGTTACTTACTACCCATGTCAGTATTTTTATTTTTATTTACGGAGATATAGCACTCCCTTCAGTTTTGCTTAAAAATAAAAAAAGAAGAGCTTTTGAGACAAATGGCCCTCACAGTACTAAAGACAATAGTTCGACTTATCGTCAGTAAAAATTTGGAATTTTTTTATCAATTAACAAAAAAATTACGACGAGTTAAAGTGAGAGGTGACAATTTCGTAGGCAGAAAGCCCTAATTTTTTCAACATTTTCATTGATAACTAAAAAATGGGATAACGAAACTAACTGAAAATTTAAGCACACAATAGAGTAATAGTGAGGCTATATATGGTACGTTGTTTATTATGAATTAGTTAATAATAATTTGGTAAAATGCAAGAAAGTAATTGTGTTCCTGTGGATGTTTTTGAGGATGCTCAAGAAGCAATTTTCCATTCATTGCCAACGAAAACCGTTACGAAAAAGTGTTCGCCGAATTTAACGAATGGAGGGAGGAAAAAAACGGAGAGTAATGACAATAAATGAAGAAGTCATGCTATCGTACTTTTTAAATTTGAAGAAAAAATATGCAATTTCATCATGTGGTCGAAGTATTCGATGTTGAAGGCTACTATAAAGGTCTACAAAAAAATATATATTGGAAAATATAACAAGCTTACTGCTTATTTGAAGAGTGAATTGAAAGGATACAAAGCAAAGAAGCTGCAATATTGGAAAGGGCACAATATTGAAGAATTCTTGACTGGGGCTTCCGATAAAGAATATTTAATGATTAAGATAAAATCTCTTTACCTTTTACATATTGTTAGGTATATGGTGAGCTTTGAATTATTTTAGGTTGCATTAATAATGGGGGTTTCTGGTGCCTGTCGACATTGAGAACTGACAGAGTAGAGGAGCCTATATCTAACAAACTTGATATTGCAAGGAAAATCCAAGGAAAATATAGCTGTTCCTTACAAGAAGCGACATCCGTAACTTTGTCTACAAACTTCGGCAGATGTTATGCGTTCAGAAAATGATGACAACAATGCTACAAGGGTTGTTATTGACGGAAAGGAAGTTAAATGTGATAAAACAAAAAACGAAATGTCTATTACTATAAATGTGAATGTTAATATTAATAAGTAAATAAATTAAATTTAATTTATTATAGGTTTATTATTTTTTCATTATTCTACTAATGAAATAAAGCTACTTTATTCCACTAATGGATAAAGTATCACTTTAGACGGTTCATATGTGTGTGGATAAAAGTCCGATTATAAGGTGATTGTGGATAAAGGTTTTTTTTATATATTTTATAAGAAAGCGTATTCCGTAGAACCGAGATTGATTTTATCCAGTCCATTAACGTCATTAAATATTAAATGCACTACCTCGGTCCTTAAGAACTGTTAATGGTATTTACTCCAACTTGGCAAATTTCAAAAAATATTAATAAATTATACGAGACACCGGAACAAACGTCTACCAATAAACCTACCAATAAACGATCGTTTTTTATTTTTTCCTGGACTGCACCAATTGCATTTATTCCCCGTGGTACGCCATTTTCATAGGAATTTAATCCCAGTTGGAGTCGGAACGAACAAGAACAGGAGTACCTTATCGATTTTACATTACGAGAAGCTTCCCTCAGATATTCGTGTAGGAATATGAACAAACTGCGTTCCTATCCGTTACCCCGTTGTAAAATCTTTTAGATTTACCTTTGGGCTTTGCGTCTCCCGGTCGTATCCAACGTAAAAAAAAAAATGAATAATCGCGCGCCGTTATCGCCTCAGTAGCTCGCGAGCGCTGTAGGCGTATGAAAAAAAAAAATGAGAAAGCGGCATGATAATTGCAAGTCTTTTCAACTGTGCAAAGGAAAAAGTAAATGTTCTAACGGAAAAAAATAACATATATTTTGCACGTTTGTCGCATTCGATGGTTGTTATGGCGACAGTACGTCTTCTGTACAAACCGAGGTTAACATTAAAACAATGTCTTTTTAATAATAATCATGTCACGAAAACATTTTTATTTTCATTGCGGAAAAAATGCCTTTTACACGTAGGGACCTACAACTATACAACTTCGCTTATAACTTTTTTCCGTTCACTTCCACGAGAAAACAGTAAAGTACTTTTTTTTCGTCTTCAAAAGACCTACAATACTCGGGATCGTCCAAACTAATAATTAGTTAATTTGTTTATAAGGCCATAACTTGTAAACTATTCAACTTACCGATTCCAGAGTTCGTGTGCCATTAGACAGTGTTAAGAAATGAGAGGATGCGATGCCAAAACGCTCTGGTAATAATAACGCAATTTATAAATGTTTAATTCAAAAGTCATAAATAAACTTCTTCTGTTTATAACTTTTGATCTAATCAATATTTTTTGACGCTCGAGGGCTAGTTTTGTAGGTCTTTTGAAGACGAAAAAAAAGTACAATACTGTTTTCTCGTGGAACTGAACGAAAAAATGTTATAAGCGAAAAACGTGAATTTACGTAAAAATTATACAATTAACCAGCCTGTAAACAATCTTCCCCCCTTTTTATGACTGAAAACTAATATGTTATTGTACATAATATTTAGCATCTATAGTGATAAATTCAGCTTGCTGCAACAAAAAGTCGCGTCCAACTCTATATTTTCTGACCTATATAGCCAGATTCGCAGTCAAGAGCTTGCCAGTACTCTGCGTCATATAAACGGGTCACCGTACGCCTTGTGTGAGATAGCAAGAATGAAGAAAGAAGATTCCACTGATCTTTGCTGTAGGGGTAGGGGTTTCTTTCGGCCTCCAGCAGATTTTAACGGTTGTAGGCCGGCGGAAACTACTTGCTTCTGCTGCGAAGAGTACAACGAAGAAAGAGAACTCGACTCACTAGTTTGTTTATTTTCCTTATACAAACAGCGCTATCTTGTGGTTCCTCGCTTTCTTTTACCTGTTTTAGTTTCCGCTAGTCCCGACAGATATTTTATTGTGTTTTGATACAAAACGGTGTAAGTACAATTCCATCCAACAAAAACCACAACTGCAAGTGTCACAGCAACTTGCGCCCGCGGAAATAAGTCGGGCAACTTCTAAAATACTTTGTTTAGAATTTTATTATCCGCCCGATCGGGGTGTATCGGACACTTTTCTACTCCTAAATCACTTCCATTAAATTCCGAAGAGATTTATCGGCCGTGTCTAAGAAATAATAAAACTTTACAGAGCCGAGGCAATAAAACAAAGTCGATAGTACGAGTGCTTCCGTTGGTATTTGATCGCGGAATCAGTGTGAGAAATAACGACGGATAAAGTTTAGTCATCCCGCATCTAGTTACAAAATCAGTTGAAAAAATATGTGACACGAGTAGATTATTCTTTATTACGTAGATTTGTAACTCACTTTATGTTTCTTGACTTAAGACGGTTTGAATCCTCTCTGAAAGCAAAGCATTGTTGTACAGGGTCGGAAAGTCCCCATGGTTCATCGCCGTTACGTGAGAGCGATAAAGAAAGTCATAGAAATCCGTGCGATAGAGAAAGATGGCTACAATGAAGGCGTCTAATAGTCACCGCCAGATCCACTTCTTATTTATGGAAGGGCGAAACGGGCGGTAACTATGAGACGCCTTCATTATAGCCATCCTCTAGTGCAATTTTTTGGTGTAGCTCGACTCAACGACACTTAATTGCGTTGATTTAAACAACTCGACAAATCACGAAATCTGTTCCAGATCGAACAAACTCAAACCCTTCTGGCTGTCCATCACGGAGAAGGAGACGCTGCCCGTGCTGGACTTCCTTTCGGCGGCGTTGCTCTCCGCCGAATACGACCGTGCCTTGAGCAGGGCCCTGGCGATGGCCGAGTGCCCAGTGGTGCCCTTCTTCGGGGCTTTCCTGCGCGAGCTGCGGGAGATCCTGGCGGCGGGACCGCCGCCTGGCCACGAGGCGGCCGGCGCGATGGCGGCAGACCACGCCGCGCCCTCGGGGAAGCCGCCCAAGGCCAGCCACCGGGACCAACAGATGCAGCACAGACAAGTGGTAGGTGAGAACGACGACTTTTTTTTTCTACTTCCCTTTCAGTTCACGACATGATTTTTGTCTTGATGCGCCCTAAAATGATACACATAACCTTCACAAATTAAAGACAAAACTCAACGTACATTATAAGCATTACCACTAGATGGCGTACGCTGCAGTCACCGAACTGCGATTATCATCCTGCTTATCCTGCAGCGAACTGTAATTAAAGAGCGGAAATGTTGTTCCAGTTCATATCAGACTACAACGGGGAAGATCACCACTTCACCAAGATCGGACCCGGAGGGCTCATTAACCTGGAGAAGATCTACCGCACACAGGCCGTCATGGACCATATCTCCTTGTGCCATCAGCATTATCACTCCCGCAATCGTCTTTCACCCACCGTTAGGCTCATCGATTATCTTAAGTGAGTATTAGAGCGATTCTAGCGGCCGCGTCACGGTAAAACCGTTTGAGAGAGATTTAGTGGAAGGCGAGACCAAAATTGATGTCTACGAGTTTTTATAACAATGTTTCCTGTGTCATTCCGTCCAACTACCGAGAAATTCCTCCAAATTGTTTCTTTACATGCCGCCTACGAACTTGGAGATTTATTTTTCTACGAACTTGGAGATTTATTTATTTTTAATGAAATATTATTTTTATCATTCTGTATATTTTTTCTCCAGGGCATCAGTCACAAGCGAGCAACGCGTTTTAGCGCCGGCTCCCCCCGAAAAAACCGAACTAGACGCCGAATATGACTGTGATGTAGATGACTACCACCCCGTACAGCCCCTAGTGCACGACCATGGGGTCAGTTTCGTCTGCCTGTCGTCGCCCCTGACCAAAATCGACCAACACGTCATTCAGGTAAAATCCCCTATTTTTTTTTTAATTTGGATCTGGATCGTTCGTCGGTTGTCTCACCTATGACACACTGATGAGGACTAATAAGTCCGAAAGCGATCTGTGCCTGGTGGGTTAAACTGACGAACGATCCTAGTTGTTGCACTAGGTGTTGCGAGTACAATTCAATGCCGGTCGGGGCATATAGTCCGGGGAGTAGTTGTTTCTCGCAACACTGGCAATTAAAAACATTGTGTTTCGTCCTATGTGGGCGGCAGTCGTGCAACAAAGTACCTGGCAATGTAGCACGCCTTGCATTTCACAATCAGACAATTAAAGTCCCTCGATATGGGTAAAGTTCCGCAATCAACCGCCATTTTGGGGCAAAATCCTTGTTGGCAACATTGAAATATAATATTGGGTTTTCAATATATTTTTCGCGATTAAATAATTAAATATTCATTATGGGGTAGCTCAATATTTCTGTCTATAATTAATAATTAATGTTTAAGAATGTTTTTTTATACGGGGTGTTTCAGGAGGAGATGTACATACTTCAGTGTTATTCTACGGTGGCGCGAGCGAAGACCACCAGGGCTAGGCTCTATCCCTTACTCAAAGGTGGAAACACCCTCAGTTTAAGGAATAAGCGAACGCTTATCAAGGTGGTACTTCAACCGCAGCTAACCTACGCCTCCACGGCGTGGGGTCACGCGGCAAAAAGCCACTTAAAGTCATTACAGGCTGTGGAAAACATAGCCCTCCGCACGGCCACCGACGCGCCCTGGTACGTAAGAAACACTGACATATTACGAGACTAACAATACACAAACGCTACACAGACAATAAGACAAAACGCGGAGAAACGATTTGACGTAGCCGCTAGACATGACAATCCCCTCCTCAGGCAAGCCGTTGACTACGTACCCGACGTGACCGACAAACACAAAAGACCTAGACACCAACTTTTTGACCCTGGGTGACCACCCCAATGACCCCCCCCCCCTGCCCGCTAACCTTTTCTGTTTCAGAGACAGCCAGGATCAAGAAACGAAGACAACGACACACACACACACACATACACATCCCCCATACCCTCCTTAACCCTCCCCTCCCGCGCTAGCCTAAGGGCCACCTTAGCAAAGCGCATCCCAGGCTGCATAGCCGCACTACCCTACCCAACCATACCACACATAAACATGACACTACCCCCGGGGTTTACACAGACGAGCCGGCGAAGCAAGAAGAGCGCCAGAAGAAAGGGTCCTAGCCGGCGGGGCCCAGCCAGGACAAAAGGAGGTCCCACAAAGCGCCTACACCGGCCGCATTTGCGGTCGGGGTAGACGACGGATGGGGCCCACCTACGAAGGCTGTCCAGGCCTACACGAGATGAGGCAGGATAAAGAGGGATAATCCCCCTCGATCCCAAATCATTGAGGCCAATTTCTAGCCATAGAATAATGGCGCGAGTGTTATTCTACGTTCAATTTTAAGTAAAAAATTTCCTATGAACTTAGGTCTTGAAACGCTTCATTTAGGATATACAGGATGAGGATTTAAATCGCTTCAACTTTTTTGTAGTGCTATGTCATTTCGGAAAAACATTTTTCCCTATCTTTTCTACTTAAGAAATGTACACCTTATTGAAGTCTTTAGCCGTTTCCGTTAAAAACTCATCTAAAGATGACGATGCATGCAAATTATGTATTGTGTCAAACCGCTAATTTGGGACAAATAAGAACATTATTAGGTACTTGGTCAATCTGGGAACTTTACAGATAATCAAAGTCCCTAGGTTGATCAAGTACCGCAATCAGTTGTTCTAGTTTGTCCCAAAATGGCGATTTGACATATGTCAATTTGTGCTATTTATATAAAAAACCACCAAAATTTAATTGTTGCAGTATTTTAAATTAAAATATTAGTTTGTTATGTAATAAACTTGAAAATATAAGTATTATACATTTATATAATGTGAAAATGAATTAATTGCATAAAACTCAAGGTTGTCAGTAATGATTTCGCCTCAAAATGGCAGTTTATCAATATCCAGGGACTTTACAGATAACTATCGCCCTCTAGCTAGATACTTTACGTAATTAAAGTTCATAAGGAACTTAATACTGTTTTTTATTATTTGATATACTTAAGCTTTTACTTCCGGGAAAGCGAACTTCTTAGAAATAAATTAACAAAACCATTGTACTTTAAACTAAATTTTTTTGCACCAGAAGAAATGACCTTGACCCAATTTTCGGAAAGTACACGTCACATGATCCCATCACCTATACCTATACCAATAATTAGTTATACAACCATAAACCTACTAAGTTGATACAACTTTTTTAATTCCATGTGATACTTTTTTAAATAAATTCTGTTTGCGTTTAATTATTTTTATTACTAATTCCAGATCCTCCACCACGGCAGCACCTGCGTCCTGTGGGAGGGCGTCGAGGGGCCCTCCGCCCCGGGCATCCGCGGCGTCCTCTTGTACCTGCGACTGGACCGCTCGACGACGACGCTCACGTGGGTGCGCCCCAGCTGGAGTGGCCTCAAGGCGGGCACTACAAACGACTCCGACCCCTTCTCCACGGACTTCAATCTGTCCTTCAACCCGGAGGAGACGCTGGCGCCCGGTCTCTTGACCAAGTTGGCGCTGCAATCCACCGGGGAGCTGAGCACGGGGACCACTCTGGACGACGGGTGAGTGTTTGCGCTCTTTCCGATCGACCCCGTTCTTCCAGTGGGGTCAATAGGCGTGGGAACGGCGCCAGATCGCTAAGTCCCGCTGTCAAGTGTGGCGCCGGGGTCAGATATGTCGGGGGCATAAATTTTTAGAGTTCTAGGGTCAGACAGACTTAGAAGGTCCCGGTATGTGTACTGATCATTAATTAAAAAAAAAAAACTAAGCTGAACTGATACGTAATTGAGGTTAGGTTTTTCTGTGTACCTAATAAAAGTTTTAATCACGCAAATGAGCTTGCGGAAAGCTTCAAGGCAAAGTGATTTTGGAGGTCTCTAGACTCTAGTGCCTCGTGCTATACCTACAATTTGAATATAGAATCTTATAAAAAATACATGGAACAACTGAACAAACTGAACTCAGAGACTACTGAACAACAGAACAACGTATAATGTAGATAATAGCTGTATTTGTTTTACACACTTGCTCACTTTGGTTAATTCACTTTCAGTAGAGTTCTGAGCAAGTTCGTTTTTTTTTAAACAAGTGAACAAACCAAAATATGACCAAAATCAGTTTCCCCCTTTCCGATCTAACCTAGCCTAATATTGTGGTTTGTAAGAGAACAAGATAACCGAACAAAACATAACCCACAAATAATAATAATCATATAATTCTAAATAATAAGCCGCTGATAATGGATATGGATTAATTCGAAGAAGATATGTTGATTGTAATTATGTTGGGCACAGTATGATTGACAACGACAACCTAATTAAACTGAAATTGAACAGACGTCAAAAGTTTTAAATGGAGTAGATGTGTGTTTTGTTTAACCTAAAGTTAGTTCAAATCACGGTCACTTCTAGTTTGGTCAATTTGACCAAACTGAACTATAACCAAGTGGTAAAACAAATACAACTACTGCGTACATACCGAACCCCACCTCCTCCAATAGGTCCTTTCGTTTAGGCAAAATAGCTATTAGCAGCTAACTCAGAGTTACTCCGAACTGATATTAGTTGCCAAAACGAAAGGTAAAATATGAATATTACTCGCTGATATATGTTCATACCGTGTCCACGCAAAATGTGTGCCTAATTTCATGCTCCCTGTATTTTTTATTATGTACCAAATCAGTACACTTAATTTTCATGCGATTAGTATATTAGTAATATTTTCACCTTTGCTGAAAGATGCTTCTTCGCGGAATTTATCTTTGCTAAAGCTGCAGATTTATTGAAAGAATAATACGATTAAGAAGCAATTAATTTATTAACAAATGGGGAAGGACACAAAAGAGCTCCATAATGGATATTTAAAATTCCGTTGCAAGGAAAGGAGACTGTCTCGAACGAAATTGCATTTTCTCTCACACCGGCGAAGCCGAGATGAAGCGCCTCCTGCCGAACAAACAGGTAATTTAAATTACAAACGAGTTGTCCTCCAGCAAATTCTTTATTAGTTTTAATTCCTCTATTTTCGCAGCCTGATACTTCTCGTACAACTGCATCGCCTCGATCTCGCCCTCCACTTTTAATTGTCGAAGTTTGGCCTCCCTCTCTTTTTTCGCTCTCGTTCTGGTCGCGGAAAGCGGCGCTTTTTTTTTCAACTCGGCGTTCCCCTCCGAAACGAAATTGTTAATTTTGTACCAAATTTTCTCCTGCAAAGGAATAAGGTGAGCGTAATTGCGAGCTCTAAAGACTTGAAGGTAAATATTTGGAGATGTTTAGGAGCCGGCTTTGGGTTTAAACGTTTAATCTGAAAAGTTAAACGCTTTCTTTAAACAAAAATACATAATACTTGAAGAGGGCCAAGAGGCATGGCTATAGTAGTGTTGATTATTATTTTCGCCCAATGAATTTGTAATTAATGGTTCGACTTACTTTTTATAACACCCTTTTTAACAGAAATTAAGACATAACGAAAGTAAGTCATAAATAAATTTTATAATATATTTTGTGCAAAATAGGTAATTTAGACTATAACAAATTTTTACCTGAGCTTTTTCGACTCTCTCGCTTTTAATAAGAAACTGCCTCAACGAATTCTCTGCAGTTTTCTTCATAATTCCCTCCTGTTTCTCTAAAACAGGCACTTCCATCTGTAACAAAACAACCCTCTTCTTCAGATTTCCCAACTCGCTTTCCTTCACACGCTGCTTCACTTTCAAACTTTCCAGTTCCTTCTGCATATTAAACTTCTTCGTCGACAATTCCAACAGAGTCTTTATCCTGACTTCCTCCTCTTTATCTTGCTGGGCCAGTTTGGATAAATCCATTTTCGCTTAGAAATGACCTCTAGGCAAACGCCAAACTCAATACCGACACGATAATCGGCGCCGTTCTTTTGTTCTCACAGCCGTTACGACATAGAGGCGACAGTAGCAAACTTGATTGTTTGATGAAAATGTCCATTAATTTAATTTTTTAGATTTTTGGACCTGATGGCGGTGAAAGAGGTGCACCTGGGGGGTAGGGACCCCGAGAAGGAGTCCGAGCTGGCAACGGTGGCCAGGAGATACGGCCTCAACCATGAACCGGGGAACGAATGCGCGCTGACCATACTCTATGGCTACGGCTTAAGTGATAATAGGCTCCTGTACATAGTTTGTCCGCCTGTAATATGCCGGTAAGGAAAAAATAAGCTTTTACCTTTAATATTTACTAAAAGATATTCAATGTGTAACTGAGTGTATGGTTGCTATAGGATCCGGCTCGAAGGACCATATATTTATTTTATGACTGGAAGCTATATGATCCGGCTCGAAGGACCAAAAATGAATATTAAATGTTTTCAGAGTATGGTTCAGTGGATTATGCTGGCTTATCCGCGGTTTGTCAAGACAAAACGCTCTCTGTGATAGACGCCTACTATGGCTAAGGGAACAATACATGCAGTTGTACCATGAGGATGGGTACTGCTGTGGTCCACTTGCCGCTGATGCTATTCGAGTAAGTTTTAACACATTTTTTTAATGTTATAAGGAGTATTATGTTTAAAATTTAATAAAAATATAATTTTAGTCGTTTGGTGGGAGAGACTGGTCTTTAGCGGGGATGACTACATCTGGGACGCAGTCTGGTGAAACTTCTGGTGCTCTTAGGAGAGAAGTTTCAATGAAAATCAAGAAGAAACAGTTACTCAGTAACCAGACTTTCAAGGTACGATAAACAAATAGTAACGGGGCTTTTACCGTTATGATTTTTTTTTAATTGAAGTCGAAACTTCAAAATAATCTTTGCATTTCAGGATAGAAGCTTGCGTTCTCAGTTCGTGGAACCAACAACCATGTGCATGGAGAGTAGTTACTGGCGAAACCCGAACTACCATCGTCAGTCGACCCCCACAACTTTTTCGGACCACCAACACGACGTTGCTAGGCACCACAGTCTAGGACAGTTGGCTTACAATTCGTCTCAACCAAAGTTCGACAGGTTAGTTCGACTTTAGCACGTTAACGGTAAATAATGTCATTATTTTGCAGGGATAGGCATGGTTCGACAGAACACCTATGGCATGGCAGACACCCCCGGGTCGGCTCAATATTGTATGATACTCAACTAGATTTTGTAGATTTCGTCACACTTTTTCGTTCTTTTAGGTAAGTAAGGCACAATCGCTGACGTTATTTACTGATTCGCGTATTTCCAGTTTATTAATTCGGAAAGACCTGAGGGATTTGTTCGAACAATTAGCAATATCTTACAGAAGCATGGCTGTGAATTCGACTAAGTTAAATGGGGTCAAGTCTAAGGTTGACCAAATGAAAAGACCGCAAAAGTTTGGTAAGCGCTTCGAACCGCTCGATGTTCTTTCAAACTGTAACATTTTTAATCCCTAGGTTTACTCACGAGAAACAGTAGGGCAGAAATGGAGGGCTCTGTGGTGAATTCCCAGAAGAAAATTTTCGACGCCATAGCCGCAGCGAGTATATTTACCAACTGCGCTGGTATCGATACCAACAACTCCCAGGTCATCACTATATCCACGTTTACGAAGTTCCTAGAAACTAGGCAAATGGAAGTCTGGACCGAGGACCAAGTTAAAGCCTTGATTTATGTAAGTGGGACGCGGAGAAAAGAAGACGAAATAAAGTTTTCCCGTTTTTAGAGACACGAACCAGACGCATCGCTCCGTGCCCAGAACTGCCTGTCCTTCGAGGGTTTCGCCAGGTATCTGATGGACAAGGACAACTTCGCCTTTGTACCCGAGAGACAAGCTCCTAACGAGAGCGAGATGGCTCGCCCGATGTCCACATATTACATCGCGTCCTCTCACAACACCTATCTGACCGGCCACCAGCTTAAGGGAGAATCGTCTGTGGAATTATATAGTCAGGCATGTATTTTTTCACCAATTTTGGATATTATATGCTCAGGACAGTGGATTAATACCTACTGAACTGTCATAACATCAGGTGTTCCCCGAGGTTCGGACTTAGGTCCACTCTTGTTTGATTTGTTTATAAATGACATCAACCCGAATGTTAACAGAATCAAAAACGTCGACGGATGTATGGCTTTATTATTCGCAGCACTAAACAGTTCTCGGTCAACCGTATAAACTGTAGATTGGAATCCAGGCTACGATATTTATAAAAAATAGGTTAGATACGACTTTTATTGCAGGTTTTACTGACAGGCTGCAGATGCGTAGAGCTGGACTGCTGGGACGGGGACGACGGCTACCCCATGATCTACCACGGCCATACCTTCACCACGAAGATACCGTTCAGCGCTGTGGTCGAGACCATCGACAGAAACGCCTTTGTGACTTCCCCATATCCCGTGATTCTGTCGATTGAAAACCACTGCTCTCTGCAACAGCAAACAAGAATGGCCCACATATTTCAAGTAACTGACCCCCTTTTTGCTTACCGCACTCTCTTAACGAACTCTCTGTTTCCTCCAGAGGATATTTGGCGAGAAACTAGTGACAAGCTTCCTGTTCGAGGCCGACTATAGTGATGAACCGACGTTGCCTTCACCGGAACAATTAAGGAATAGGATTTTAATAAAAAATAAGAAATTGATAATGGAAGTGCCTGCCCCGTTAAGTTTTGCCATTATGACCACGCCGGTCCGGCCCGGAGGCGGCGTGAGACATTCCGTCCCCGGAAGGACCAGCTCTATCATCAGCAACACCAGCAGCAGCTCGTTCAACGATGACTTCAGCGATGATGACTACGACGACGACGACGATGAGGACAATATTGACGGTAAGTGAAGCATAACCGAAACAGCACCAAAATATTGTTTAATTATAAGTTATTTTAGAGAAAGCGATTCACGGCATCGCTATAAACGACTCGCCCAGGCCGTACGGTGTGCCGCACGCCGTGTCGAAGACCAGCTCGCAGAAACGGCCCGCACCCGACGACAAGCTGAAGAAGAAGAGCAGTCAGATTTCGAAGGAATTGTCGGATATGGTGGTGTACGTTCAGGTAAGTTTTCCGGGTTCGTAAAATCGTGAATGTTACTTACAGAAATTTTCTTCCAGGCGATAAAGTTCCGTGGGTTAAACACGATCTCGCCTAGCAGCTCGGTGAAGCAACGCCAAAAAGCGATCACTTGTTCAGTAAGCTCGAGTGCGACGTCTGGCATCAGCTCTTCCTCGAATATTAGTTCGGGAACCACCAGCGAACCAGAGCCCACTATATTCGAATCTGAGGTGCAGAAAAGACCAAACGTGTCGCTGCCTTGCTACCAATGTTCTTCCATAAACGAAAACACGGCAAAGAAGTTATGCAGGTTCGTAAAATTTCGCCACTACGTATACACGAATAAGTTCAACTTTCTTTTTTTGCAGAAAACAGCCCTTGGCGTTGGTGGCACACACACAGACTCAACTGATGCGCACTTACCCGGCAGGCATGAGGATAGACTCGTCCAACTTCAATCCGGTCATATTTTGGTCCTTCGGGATCCAAATGTCTGCACTGAACTACCAAACGGAGGACACCCCCATGCAGCTGAACAACGCTCTTTTTGAAACAAACGGCAAGTGCGGGTTCGTTAGTAAACCGAACGTTATGTGGGACAGATCACACGTCATGTACCGGCGGTTTAACCCTTGGGACAAGGTGCGATATTCAATAAAAATTACTAATTAGTGGTAAAAATTATATTTTCAGGAATTCGACGGCATACATTCGTCCCAAATTGTGATCAACATAGTCTCTGGGCAATACGTAGGCCAAGGCAACGTCAACTTAAGCACGTACGTTGAAGTCGAGATCATCGGAATCCAAGTGGACTGCAACAAGCAAAAAACTAAAATCATACACAAGAACTCTCTGAACCCGATATGGAATGACACCTTCCATTTCCGGGTAATGTTCCAGGATTTAAGTTTTCTACGATTTACCGTCATCGACGCAACCAGCAGTCACCTGTTAGCACAGAGGATCATACCGTTGAAATGCCTCAGGCCGGGTTATAGACATTTGAGGTTGCGGTCAACGCAAAACAAGCCGTTGAATATGTCCACGCTTTTCCTTTACTCTCGAGTCGAGGAAGAAAGTTTGGAGAACACAGAAACCAGTGACGGAATCGTTGAAAGACCGCCACCCGCTGAAACTGAAGTTCCCGACTCCGCGGGCACGGACAGCACGTTTTTGGGTAAGTTAATTTGTTACAACCACGAATTATTTCAACAAAACAGTATCGTCAGTTTTGTTATCATTCCGTTTGCATTGCAGGTATTTCCGGCACACCTCTTTGCGTGAAACGTCGCATGTTCTTCCTAATGGTGTACGGAGTAGTCTCCGAGGAACCTTACACTATTCTAAAGATTACCCAAGAGAGTTCAACTCAGGACGTTCTTTTGTTGTGCCTCCAGAAGGCAAGCATAACTCCCACCAAAGTGAACGATTATATTTTGGTCGAGGAAGTGGCTAGGGGATGGGAAAAGAAAGACCACAGTTTACCCGCCACGCAACGTATCTTGGATCTGCACGAAAGGCCTTTGCAGGTAAGGAAATGTATAGACGGGATATTCTATTTCAAATTGCTTGATTTCGCAAAAATAAAAAAAATTCCTACTAGTTTTGTAAAAAATTTATGTAAATAGACTCACTTTTAAGTAAAAATGGTGTTATTTCTCATAGCATGTGACAAACAACTACTCTGACGACGAATTACCAACCAGACCAAATTATACTCACAATAGGGTCTATTCTGTAAGCGCCTGGGTTAAATTTGACGGATGGTTAAAATTCTGGATTTTAACGTTTTCCTCTGTTCTATAAACTATAAAGTTCTTTTTAACGAACTAGTTAACAGTTAAAATTTTAGCGTGTTCTTTAAAGCGATCGTGGTTATTCGGAATTACGGAAATTAGTAGTAGTTCAAACGCGCTCAAACAATTTCACGAAGAGGAAGAAGACAAAGTATTGATATTTTGATATTTAACCTTACTTTTTAAAAATAGATCGTTTACCTTACTTACTAGCACGGCAAATATGCTGTGCTACCAGTTTACTACTTTTGTAGAATTGTAAAATAATGGTTAAAATTTAATCCAAAATATGTCATGCACCATTTCACTGGCTCTGTTTAACAACTGTTAAAAATAACTATATATTCCATACAGAATACATACCCAAAAATAACCGGCGTCAAAATTTTAACTTTCTCCTTACAGAATAAACCCTAATATCTAGCAAACAGGATAATTCGTCAACCGAATCCATCAGACCAGTTTTGAATTTATTAACCCTTCAGTATACCATAAATGTGGCATATTGATGCTTGAAACTGGTTACTTTTATTTGCATTATACATTTTTCACAAACTTGATCTCTTGATTTTTGAAGATATCAAGCTGGGAAAAAGCAAAATTTACTTATTTCTTACCTTTCAGGCCCAATCTCAGTGGAAGGGTGAAGGCCGCTTCATTCTGAAAAGGATGGGCGATGACCCGAGCAGCAGAGCCTGGCTATCATCGATCAGAAGCGTCGCCAACAGAGAAAGAGAAGTACGCAAGTCCGACGGCGCCCCCAGCAACGCCTGGGAAGAAAACGACACGTTTCTGGTGTGCATCTACAACGTTTCTCCGGAAATACCCTACGCCATCCTCAAGGTGCCCCTGAACGCCTGCGCGCAAGACGTACTGGCGCAAGCTCTAGTCAAAGCCAGACGGCTCGAGGATCCCATGAACTTCGTCATAGTAGAGGAATTGGAATGGGGCGGAACTAGTCACAATATCCAACAGCGAGCGTTGGCGGATTACGAGAACGTTTACAGCGCTCAGTCTCACTGGCAAACCATCGGCCGGTTCATTATGCAGGAGAGAGCAAATGCCACGCCGACGTCCCTGAGGAAAAACAGAATAACGTCGACCTTACGCTTGGCTACGCTGGACAGGATAAGTCGTGGCTTGAACGTGGCGCGTAACGTAGCCACGAACAGCATCAAAATGCCCGTGCAGGTAGCGCTCAGCGACCCTACGGCCTCCTCCAAATGGAAGAGCAAAACCGGGGAGGACTCTAAGAACAAATCGGTGTCTCGAGGCAAGGGCAACTCGGAAAAAGACACGGCGGCGACTACTTCGCTGGGTAAAAAGTCGGAGGTGACGCGAGAAGTCCACTCGGAAGGCGAAACCTTGAGCGACGAAGAAACCAAAGAGTCCGATATCATGTCGACGGTGTCCCGGCTGAAGAAAGTATCACTAAGGAAATTCAAGGAGTGGAAGTCGTGACTTCTGGAATAAAACTGACTTAGTGGAATTCAAAATCTTTTTGTTAGGTACCGTGGTTTTTATAGATACGTGACTGTATGGCCTCGAGGGGCAGGCGTGTTCACCGAAGGGATTTAAAAATCGTGTGCAATATAAATTTCTCTGATACATTAAATTGCGTCGCATAACCAGGAAGGGATGTTTTAGGCTAGACGTAGCAATATAGAGTTAAAGTTTCATATTCTACATAATCTATTTTGCTACTATTGTTCTTAGTAACCGTTTAGTTTTCTTGAGATCCGGCACGAGTCACTTTGAAATTCATTTCGGTGTTTCTTTGTAAGATGTCATAGCGTATTATTTTGATCGAACCACTAAAATCGTTTGGCAAAAGATTTATATACAGGGTGGCCAAATGAAAACGAAACAGGAACTGCGTCAAGATTGTAGAAAAAGGCTCGGACCCGTCGATTTTAGATTAAAGGGGGACATTAAAGTCTGTTGTAAAGAGAATCGTAAGAGCTTGCGAAAGAAATATTACTCAACACCCAATGCCATTTAAATATTTTGGGGCGACGCCTACCCTTGCTTGGGGGTGAAAGTGGCGGAGTCAAAAATACCAGCAAAGAATGTCCCCCTTTAATCTAAAATCGACGTGTCCGAGCGTTTTTCTACAATCTTGACGCAGTTCCTGAAAATGGCTCTGTTTCGTTTTCATTTGGCCACCCTGTATGTAAAACAGTTTAAGTAGCAAGGGCGAGGTTTAAAAAAAAACCGTCGACGTTTAGTTGAATTTTGATGTATAAAATTACAAAGTGCAAATACTTGTAAAATAAAATCCTCTACAAAATATCTAGAAAATATTGCACAAACGGAGTATCACTCCTAGGAAGTAAATTGTGTTTGTCTAGGATTTTGTACTTTTTATAATGACAACAATAAACGCTTCTTATGACTTTTCGTTCTCGCACACCCCGCCCAGACGCTCGGGTGTTTGGACGTTCGTCTTTATAGCTTTAAAAACCCCAGGATTGCATATCTGTGTTTGCCTTCCCTATTTATTTTCGTTACGTTTAAAATACGTTGATTATTTATTAACTTAATCCAAATAATTTTATCGTTGTTGAGATCTTAGTGACATAATAATAGATAATTATATTATAAATCAAATACTACCTAATAACTTATTGAAACCTGTAATTATATGAATATAGTAAGGGCATATACTGTCTCCTATCACATATACCATATCTACGATTTCTTTTTGTACGATATGTTCCGTTTTCGTTTTTAACATATCCCGCATAAAAATCAAATCTACAGTATTTACAAATATTTGAATGAATATCGTTCTTGTACATTAACATATTGATGTTATTTATAAAATATAATATAAATAATATACGAAGGAAAATATATACCTAAACTGTTACTTTGCAGTACAAATTTAAAATGATTGTTTTTACGTAACATTGTTATATTTAACGATTTATAAAATATATTGCGTTAAAAATTGACCTTGTTTATTTCCCTCTCAACCGTCCCATATTCCCTCAATAAAAATCATAATTTCACATTTACCTGAAAGTACTTGCATGAGAAGAAATTCAAGATTACAGAAAAACAACTTTATCATTTTTTAAGCTTGCGTGCAATTATTTGCGCCATTTTAGTTTTCATTAAACTTTTTCAGTTTCCACAAAGTTAACTTGTGTTGTGTGATTATATTTATAGTAGTGTATGTGATTTTCTAAAAATTCAACAGACGCACAGTGGGCGAAAACGCTCTAAATTCCATGCGAGGTAGTAAAAGTTATCCAAATTGGGATATATTTTTTAAATACTCATAATTATGTCCACTTTTTTGTCACAGAAAATTGCGATATTTTCAAAGGTAATTATATACTATAGCGTCACCCTTTCAAATATTCACAAAATTCGTCCCTATTTTCGATGGTACTGAACACGAATCTGAAGTTATTTTTGTGCGGTCGAACCCAGTTTTCCAGAAAAAAAATTATTTTTCAAAATTCTAACCTGGATGTTTCACAAAACACTAAGCAGAACCCTGTATATTTTATGTAGCTTTCAGAGCATCTGTAATCTGTAATAAAAAATCAACATTGTTTAAGAAACACATTTTCCCATATTTGAACTACAAAAATATGTATTTAATAAATAAATTATAGCATAGTAACTTTATGTGGGATGAACAGAAATAAATGAATGGGGGAACTCTTCTCCTTCTTCTTTAGTTAATGGCCACCTTTGGGTACTTGGCCAACGCAGTTATTTTTCCCAACAAGCGGGTAGAGAATGCCTTTCAGCGTCTGGAATTTTTCCGTCTACCCTCTTCTTACACCACAAATTATTTTCATTCACAATTCACATTTTCATTTCTTATCGGCTAACTATGGGGGAACTCAAATGTTGTCATCCATAGAAAACTTAATATTAACAACTAATTTTCTATGGTTGTCATCACAAAACTGAAAACACGAACACTGGCTAAATACCCTCTGGGTGAAGGCCAAAAAAAGAAGAAGAAGAAGTCATTACGAATTCAAATGGCGAATTCAAATTACAAAATTTTTATTTATTAAATACATATTTTTTACTTGAAATTTGTGAAAACGTGTTTTGTAAATAATGTTAATTGTTCATAACAGATGTTCTGAAAGCTACGTAAAATATACAGAGTTCTGCGTAGTGTTATGACCAGATTAGAATTTTGAAAAAAAATTTTCTCGAAAACCGAGTTCGACTGCACAAAAATAACTTCAGATTCCTGTTCAACACCATCGAAAATAGGGGGGTAGACAGAATTTTGTGAAGATTTGGGAGGGTGACGCTATAGTAAATAATTATCCAAAATATGAAAAATATTTAGCAAATATAAAAAATGTAAGGTATAAATTTTAAAACCAGTTAATTCAACCACAAATTTTCGAAACCATAAACCTGTTGGTTTAGGAATTGTGGGTCTGGATTTTGTGGGAATGTGGGTTTAGTTTAATGAATTTAGGTTCTATTAGGTTAGGTTTTCAGAGTTATAGTTTCAAAAATTGGTGGTAGATGGGTTTACAAATAACAACCTGTTAAAATTTATACCTTATTTTTTTTATATTCGCTAATGTTGTTCATATTTTGTGGTATCAAGTGTGAGAAACATTTCTGATTGTAATTTCTACAAAAAAAAAATATCTATATATATACTCTTACTTATAACTAGTGTTTATAAATATATTATATAATCAGTAAAAGATATTGGAAAATATTTTAGGCGGGGGGGTTCCTCAAAAAAAAAATCGAAATGTTGGGTGGGTTCTGCAAGTCGTAAATGTTTGGAGACCACTGACCTAAACCATACTAGTATCCGAGGTCACTGACATTGACATTCACAAACTAAACAGTTTGCTTTAAAAAAATAACTTTCTATTAAAAACTTGAAATTTTAACAATTCGTTCTATCCTCCGGAACTGTTAAACGGGCTTTAGTTTAAAAATTAAAACATCTTCGTCGCTGAAGGAATTGCAAAAAAAACACCGTTTTAAAAGATAACAAATTTATTTCTTTATGGCTTATAAAATTAAACATAAATGTAGAATAAATATGGCATCAGTACATAAAAATAGACTAACTCCTAGAATAATACTTCGCGAAGTACGGGAGGATACACTCCCTAACGTCTCTGTTTGGCTGATGCAAGTAGTCACTTATATACACGGTGTTTAACAAATAGATACCTTGCTGAGCCAGTGGGATGTAATCGGTGTAGTCGCGGACGCTTCTTTGCTCGAGAAAGCAGTGCGTCGCGTGTACGGTCTCCTCAAACGGAGGGCTAAAAGAACCAAACGTAATTAAAAAAAAGTACAGTTGTTACAAGAATATAGAGCAAATATCATAATTCAGAATGCAGTTTAATAATTTAGAATGCTTGAGCCTACAGAATGACCTGATCTTAATGCCACTGAATTTTTAAATTATTTAATGATAAAAATAAATCAAAGCTGTATGAATGTATGAAAAAAACAATTGAATTTTAAAATAGTTGGCCAAGTGCATCAAAAGTTAAAAGGTTAAGTCTGCAGACTAACCTGACCTTAATAACATTGAATTTTTGAAGTTACTTCAAAGAAATAGAAAATCTAGCCTACCGACGGATAATAAAAATATAAAAAGTCCTACCTGACGTCGATAACAAGTCCGCCGCCCGCCTCGATAACACGAATGATGGAATCCTTCTTCTGGGCGACGACGATAGCCCTCATGTCGTTGAAGGCGCCGTAACCCCTCCTCGACACCTCTTTCCGCCACCAGTGCATGTATTTCATGCGCAGCTCGGTGTCCTTTTCGAACTTGACTACCAACTTACCCGCGGACTTTGGGTTGCCGAACTCGAACTCTTCCTCCTAAAAAAAAAACCCGGATATCGATACGTGAAGTCCGTATTTTAATTAAACGTACGTCTAAGAAATGCCCAGCCTCCAGGGACTTCTCTAAGTAAGAAGTGTGAAGGATCCACTTTCCCGCGGCCATGCAAGAAAGGATCTTCTCGTTCCTGGCCGGTTTGGGGCAGAGAAGGTGGCTGCCGGTAGGATCGTAGTTTGATAAATCGGACACCGTCGCTCCGAGGCTCTCCAGTTCCTCCACCATCTTCGATCGATCGCTCTCTCCTACTCCCGTCAGGATGAAAATTTTCATCGGTTTCGGCGCTACCTACGCGAAAATTAAAAAAATAAGCATATTAACTTTCGATTTTTTGGTCCTTCGAACCGGATATTATAAATAACAGAGGATTTTTTAGTGTTTCTACAAGTATACGCATAAAAAGCGTTATTTTAACGACATAAACATATTAAGTCGTCATCCGAGCTAGGTCTAACAAATTAATAAATTTATTTTCGTAACGTGTGCTGCGCTGTGATGGAGCAGCGATAAAATGTCGTGTTTGTGGAATGATTTGTTGCGTTGGAATTGCTAGTGCTCTAAAAGACCTATTGAAGTGAAAAGTGTACGAAAGATAGATTGTTACAGCTGCCGTACTGGGTATTTTTATTACATAAACTAATTTTTATGTTCAGTGTGTTCTCAGTTTTTAGTGATGATTATAAATATAACAATTCGTAATGTTCAAAGTAAGGACTAACCTCTTTAGAAAAATCCCATTCAATAGCAAAAGCCTGTCGACGGACAAAGCGAAAAAATTAGTCTTTTCGATGCAAAAAAATTGAGTTTCGCGTGGTAAAAAAAAACAACTAACCTCTTGCTCCTGAAAATCCCATCCAACTGTACATGCTTGAGAGTCCTTATACTCCTTGTTGCCCTCTGAAAATTAAAGAAAATTTAAAGTTCATTGGATTTTACGCGTAAACGACAAATATCCACCTGGGATTGGTATCGTGGATTGAAAATTTCTGCTCTGCCTCCTGCCGCCACCGCTAGCGCTCAGCATTTCTTCCATCTGCTGGAGCCGGCTATGGATCAGTTTGTACTGCGGGCTGTCTTCTCCAGCTGGTAACTGAAACAAATTATGAGCGACGTTGATAAAAAATTATTTCCGCACTCACTTCCTTGGGTTCCTCGACGTCCATCTCCTCAGCATCGTTTCCGTGTTCGTCCTGCTCCAAATTCGATTCCGCCGGAGGATATTCTCCTCTCGTGAGTATCTTGTTCCACAGCTTCCTCTTGATGTCCGAAAGCGGCTAAAAAACGACACGAGATTTACTTAAATGCTCCCCTAAAAATGTAAATGTCGAACTCACAGTGCTCAACCGTCTTTGCGGCGGCATATCGCAGTCCGGGAACTGTTTCAGCCAAAGTTCGCAGTGTTTCCTCAACTGCGGAGAGGGATTGTCGACCATGCAAGCCTCCAGGGGTGTCTCGGGCGTTTTTATGCCCATCCACGGGAACCGTTGCGGGCTCTCCCTCGACGGCGTCAACTCCGAGTTGCTCTCGCGGTACTGCTTCACTATTTTGTTCACCGGGGTGGCCTGAGAGAAGACGTTCCCCAAATCTGAAATAAGGATTGGTTTGTCCTTGAAAAGAACGGCTGTGAAAGGAACATCAGTATCTGCCAGTGTTTTCGATTGTTATCTTCGGATTAGGACCATTTAATTATACCAATAAATACAGGAAAACATACTTAAACGTACAATGCGGCGAAAATAGTGACATACCTGGACTGCCGTTAAAATCGATCTGTCTCCGAAGTATTTGGTTCAGAGGCGTCAAAACTCTAGAAGTTTTACTGGAACTCGGACGAACTTTACCCGTCGTCGCAGATACTTCCGGAGTAACGTTACTCTGCATGGAGATGTTGGTAGGAGTGTTAAATTTCGCTAAACAGGACAAATTTGACATGCTCTGTTGAGCGTTTTCCGCATCCACAGACGGTGTTGCCTGAATTGTTTCCTGGTCGTTTTGGCGACGACTCGACAGCGGAGTGTTACTTGCGCTCGGTTTTGGGTTGGGGGTCTTTGCCTCAGTTTTTCTCATTATTGATGTGTTCTTCGACGGTACTGAAATTTAACCAAACTTTTTTCTATGAAACGTAACAAATTTTCAAATCAGTCCATCGACTTTCATGAACAACTATATCGGCCGTTTCAAAAGCTGTGAAATTGGAACGGCATGTTAGATTTATCTCCTTGAGGCTGCTATTTCTGATTATCGAGATACAAGCTGTTAAAATTGGTCAAAGAGCCAATTTCGAAAATCATTTCAAAGTTTCCAAAGGACAAAAGAAATGTTTGGAGGAGAGAGTGTAATCAGTGAAATCAAAAACAAATATTAGTCTGCTTTGTGTTAAGATAGTACCTTCATTTGCTGTTCGTGTTAAAATTAGTTATTTCTTAATCGTCGCCCCCATGCATTTTCTGTTGATTGCCGTAGATTTAATAATAACCGAGTTATCACTCGCTAAAGATGATTGTTTATTTTTCGGGAAGTAAAATCGAACCTTTTACAGTAAAATAATGGCGAAGGAAATAATTTTTCTAAGAAAATTAATATAACCTTTTTTAATAACTTTCCTTGTGTCACAAGGTTTAATATAAACTTGTAAATGTATCCACGTCAAAATAAAAATACTTACCGACGCCTCCCACCAGATAATCCGACTCGGGAACGCGACTGCCCGTCCTGGCGCACTCCAACAGCCAGTCCTTGGTCACGGCCGGCAGCTTCCACTTCACCGCCCCCTGGTACTTTTTCCCGCTATCCTTGTCGCATATGAGATGCGTCGACGCCACGACCCCCTTAACTTCCGAAGTGACCCTCGAAAACGATTCCTGATGGTGCCCGCCCAACATCGGTATGAGACGCTTGAGGAAGTCCCGCTCGTAACTACCGTAGCCGCTGATGGCGATCACGCAGTTCTCGAGCGGTCTCGTGTCCGGCAGATCGAACGGCCGATGGTAGTAACAAATATTGGACAGTAAATGTTCTTGAGATGCGCATTCGGTTATGAATAGCTCGTTGACGACTTCCCTGGCGGTGTGTCGGATTTCGCTGCTGTTGAAGGTCGGCACTACGATGAAATCTGGGATGCCTTTGTAGCCCTTCGGTACTAGAGTACCACAAAAAGCTGCAACGAATTTTTTTGTAAACAGACAATTTAGATATTTAACGTTGTTTTAAGGACCTTCTATCAGCTCCTTGATGTGCTCAAGTTGATCCTCCACAAAACCAAGGACGAGAAATTTCAGTCCCTCGAAGAATATTTGGCTTTTAGACTCCGTCTGTTCGTCCTGGGGCGACATTGTGGTAGTTTCCTGCGTTGAAGTTTCCGAGGGTCTAAACTGAGGCATCGCACTTGGCGGCTCTTGTACCTTATTGGAAAAATCAGGGAAGTTGTCGGCGTTCTTCAACAACCTCACCAGGGTATCATCGTCTTCTTCAACTGGGGTGGAAAAAGTTATTATTCGGAAATGATAGCGGCAATCAGTTTGACATTTCAAATGTTTGATATTAAAATTTACAGCGTACCTGCAGTGGACTTCAGATACTGCTGAATGATGTTTTGTTCAGCATTATCGACGTTTCGCAAACTGTTTTCTAGTTTTTCTTCATCCACTTCTATTATAGTCTTGTTAGTCCGCAATAGATTTAAACCCTACGAAAAATAAGAAAGAAATTCCCATGGGTATCAAAATACAGGTCAAAGGACATTTGAACTACTCTATCAGATTTTTAACATTCCGTTAAAATGGTTCTATATATCAGAACGCAGGGTATGTTAAAGACTAAAAAGTTACTATGGGTTTAAAACTTAACAGCAAAATATAAATTGTTCCTAAAATTTAAGAAATAAACGAGCGTCTGCATATTTAACTCGTCTTGCATTGGCAAATAAATATTTTTCCCACAAATTCATTTTACAGGAAATAAAATACATATCTAACCCTTAAAGTACATCCAATACACATAATATTTGTCATACATTGATTAAAGTGAGGATTTATTCACAAATTTCAATATTACAGGCAGTAACTAAAATTGGGACATTTGAACTACTCCATTGGATTTTCTAAAATCTGTCATTATATGGTGCCCTTAACTTTTGATATACAGAATATCAACTCATAAATAATATTTAAGGTTTCTATTAACGATAAACTAATTTTAAGGCGGGATACACAATTAAATTATTAGTCGGCAAATATCAACAATATCGCCCTTAAAGTCCAAGGTTGATATAAGAATAACTTTTCAAATGTTATTTCCAGCCAAAAAAATTATTTGTTCTCTGATTTGAGGGAATTTTGATGGGAAATAATGACAAAGGATCAACAAAAGCACTTGTATCATACAAAGTTGTTCAACGTTCTACCTCTAGCTCGTTTGCTTTCGTATTAAAAAATAATAATAATAACTGAAGTACATTTTCTTATAAACTCAATGCAATTCTTAGAAAAAAAAAATTTGGAAAGTTTTTCATAAAATTTATTACCATAATCACATTTTTTTTAAGTTTCCTCATGAAACAAACAAACATCACTATTTAAAGTTGGTTTAGAGTTCCAAACGACATAGAATCATACGTCATTTGCATGTATTTCAGTCAGTCACCGTCAAACCATAAATGAAAATTATAAAATTCCCCGACATCTATTTTTATGCAGTGCTGTACTTACCTTTCTGCTTAGCGGAGAGCTGAATTCGCTTTTGTCGACGTCAGACGTACTCAAAAGGTATTTCTCTTCATTAACCGGCTCCTCGGACTCAATACTATCCAACAGCCATTGAACAGAAACTAGCAAGCACGGACTACCTTTGCCCTTTATAACCTTCACTTCATGATAATTTGGATCGCCGACAATAACGTGAGTGACGCGGTCTGAAAATTGATCGTACCGTGTTGCGCCGCTCAAATTTAATATTTTACACAATTTTTCTGTGTGTTCTGGCCCGAAACCAGTTATATAAATCTAAAAATAATTAAAAAAAATTACGGGACTGTGTGGTGCAATAAAATCACTTACCGAGTAGCCATCCAAGTAGTGCCCAGCCTTCTTAGCTTTTTTTATATCCAACTTATCGACAATCTGACCGTAATCTTCTCTCAAGTCTCCTACAGTTCAAATTTCAGTAAGAAATAGTTTGTTTAATTAGGAAATCTTACCTTTACGTTTACTCGGCCCAACTTTGATACCGGGGCTTGAGAAGCATTTCGATGAATTTGCATTAATCGTTGCATCTACGGTTTTGTCGCAAACGTTAACCATGGAAATAGCACTCAACACGGAGAAATTGGGGTTAAGTAGGTTATCGCTTTTATTAGGAGTTGACGTCGCTTTCTTAATTTGAAAATCGGTGTGTGAGAGGGCGTAGCCTTTCTTTATACTCTCCGTTAGCCACGACACATCGACGCACCTGATATTCGGTCGCGTCCTTGCTGCTTTATATTTCTCGCTCACAGACACGCTTAAAAAATAGACAAGTTATGTTTTGTAAGGAGGTGTAATCGAACTTACTCTAATCCTGCACAGAGCAAAACGTCAGCTTCAGTCAGCTTTAACCTTGCTGAATATTTTCCACCATATTTATTGACTAATTTCTCTATTTCTTTCCGTTTAACATCCGTTAAGCCGGTACTCGAAATATTTAGGTTCTGAAAAGGCAGGCACTTATGTTCTTCAAATTCCTCATCGTTAGCGTGGATGTTTGATGATTGACTGGCTTCCCAAACGGCTTCTATCCATGAGGAACACATTAACTTAACTCCTATCTCTGCCGCTGCCTAAAATAAATTAAATCATCATTTATTTACAACTTAACGAGTTGACCAAACTTACTAAATATTTCTCTGACTTGGGACTGTCAGTGACAAGATGTGTTACTTTTTCGACTAATGTATCAATGTAGCACCCGCCCATAAGCTGTACCTTTTCTTTTATTTCCATCTTTTTAATTTTCGATAAGTTTGAACAAGTAACTATGCATTTGTACATAGCCACGTTATAAATGGGCCAAGGGAAGTTTGGGATTGGTTTGCCTTCCACCAAGCAAATGCTCGTAGCCCAAGGTCCTAATATCCTGCTACAAATGATTTTAACTTTTTGATAATGTGGCGGAAGCTATAGATTCAACTTACACGCATTTTGTTTCTTTCAAGTTCTCAAACACTTGGCCCTTGAAGTCTTCAAAGATTATAAAGTCTGTTTTGTTTATGGTAATGGAATCAAAATCACTTTCTTTGACCCAACTTACATCAGTCTTTATGTTTTGTTTGCAAGTCTAAAAATGAAAAGTTAAAGTAAAATAAGTTACAAACTTTGGAAGGTTTAAACAATAACTTCTTACCTCATAAGCCTGTTTCATGATCTCAGAGACTTCTTGTTCATTACAATATTTCTCCGGTAAAACAAAAATTAATCGAATATTTTCCATAATGTTATCATTAAAACCAATTATTTTTAAATATAAAACACCAACTAAGTAAGTAATGTATGTGTCCCTATTCTAATCTATATTGTTATCACAATTCAAGTAAAAAATTAATGCAAAAATCAAAATTTCTGGCTACATGAGGAAGAACTAACTAAAGATTCATAGTGTAAAAACGTTACGTGCCATTTTCATTTCAAGTGTCAGGAAACAGGTAAACAACACGTAAATTCAAAAGTTACTAACGCTTAAAATTTCAAAGTATTAACCCATGGATGTCCTAACGTAAACGCGATTTAAAAAGTAATTTTTTACAAAATTTTATACTTACAAGAAAAGTAAAAATAGTTTACGGAGAATATAAACTTCATAAATCAATTGAATCCCTATAAACCAGGCTACAAACTTATCAATTTAGTTTAATTATTTTTTTTTCTATTGGCGACACCTAAAATTTAAATATAAATCCCCAGATAGTTAATATTGAAGTCCCTATCAAAACTTTCTCGTCAGGGAAGTAGACAGAGGGGATTAGTATGGGCGTATGGGCACAAATTGTCATGGAAAAAGTTTTGTCCGATCAAACACAGTAATCAAAACAATGACAGTAAAAGAAAATACCCGCCCCTCAGTAAATTTTATAGCACTGATAACTGAGTTATAATTAAAAATTTCGTTTAATTTTGGGGAAAATATGTTTACCATGTTTCTACTGAGAGAGTATTGATTTTATTCCTGGACCATTCACAGCTTCCCCGGCTAGAAAAAATTTATAAAGGCCATTGCTTTACAAAAACGAAACAAACGACTCTGTTAAAATGAACAGAGTTGGATACAACTTCTCTTCCATCCTCAAACAGAACAACATCAAATAGTGTAAGTGTTTGCAATTTCTAGCTTTTCTTTGTATTCAGAGTTGCATAAAAAGGGGCTCGTATATTTTAGGTAAAATTTCTCCGAAAATAATCCCCAAAAAAATCAAAATGATGCTGGGTCGCAAACAAAGTCTAAAAGGGGAGCCTGTTTTGGCGGATTACGGACCCGATGAAGCTTTTAATGAAAGTGCTGACATTGAATGGGTAAATAAGGTGCGAGGCTATTCCCCACGTTGTGATACCTTATTAATTTTTTTATTTAAAGCGATGGGTAAGGAGGCTAATGAGAGGGTGTGCTCTCCTCAGTCTGGCTTCAGTAAGCTGTAACACCCCTAAGACATTTGAAAAGTTCGAGTACATGCAGATAACAACTTTTTCTGTAGACGCTGTCGTAACCGTGTTATTCACTTCGGAAATGATAGCGAAGATGCACATTAGGGGCATACTGAAAGTAAGATAATTTTTTTTGTAATTGCGCATATAAAAGCATATAAATTCAGGGTGACAGGCCGTACTTAAAAGACCACTGGTGCCAGTTCGACGCTAGTATGGTGTTTTTCCTGTGGATATCCGTCATCCTTCAAGTTTTCGAAATGCTAAGCATCGTGCCAAGATTCAGTTATTTGTCTATTTTGAGAGCACCCAGGCCACTTATTATGATCCGGTTTCTAAGGGTTTTCCTCAAATTCTCAATGCCTAAATCAAGAATCAACCAAATCTTCAAGTATGAACACTTTATACTTCATATAAAATAACATTCAAAGTAAACCTTAGCGCTAATATTTATTGTTTCGTTTTTAGACGATCCAGCCAACAAATCTACAACGTAACACTGTTCTTCCTATTCTTCATGTCCTTATACGGGTTGTTGGGTGTGCAATTTTTTGGAGAGTTGAAAAACCATTGTGTAACTGTTAACACGACGGAGCCAAAGTAAGTGCAGCAAAACAAACAAGGACAGTTTCTTTTACAATTTTTTTTTAAGGGATATAACAATTAACAGTCTTGCTATACCTGACACATACTGCTCCTTAGATCCTTCTTCGGGCTACCAGTGTCCAAAAGGGATGAAGTGCATGAAACTTGAAGGACTTTCTCGTTACATAATCGGGTTTAACGGATTTGATGAATTTGGTAAGATGTAGAATCACTTGGGCTTTAAAAAATATATTAAATATTTTTTCAGTTACGAGTTTCTTCACGGTTTACCAAGCGGCTTCACAGGAGGGTTGGGTTTTTATAATGTACAGAGCCATAGATTCTCTACCTGGTTGGAGAGCGGTACTGTATTTCAGTACGATGATTTTCTTCCTGGCTTGGTTGGTGAAGAACGTTTTCATTGCTGTCATCACCGAGACCTTCAACGAGATCAGGGTGCAGTTTCAGCAAATGTGGGGCGTCAGAGGGCACATTCAAAACAGCTCAGCTTCACAAGTGAGCTTGTTTTTATTGAATGTTTAACAGGTTTGTCGCTTAATTTTTATTTCAGATACTAATCGGCGATGATCGCGGTTGGAAGCTTGTGACCTTAGACGAGAACAAACACGGCGGCTTGGCACCTGAATTCTGCCACAAAATCCTCCGTTCCCCTCACTTCCGACTTCTTGTCATGTGTGTAATTCTGGCGAACGGTATTGTCACAGCTACGATGCGTTTTAGACACGACGAAAGGCCCCGACAGGTGTTCTATGAAAAGTACTACTATATCGAGCTGGGTTTCACAGCGTTGCTCAACTTAGAAACGATCTTCAAGATATGGTGCCTCGGGTGGAGGGGTTATTGGAAACATTCCATACACAAATTCGAGTTGCTTCTCGCCGTTGGAACTACGATTCACGTTATACCAGGCTTCTACATGACGGGTTTCACTTATTTCCAAGTTCTGAGGGTTGTAAGGTTAATAAAAGCTTCTCCGCTTCTTGAGGACTTTGTGTACAAAATTTTTGGGCCGGGAAAGAAATTAGGAAGCCTGATAATTTTCACCATGTGCTTGCTGATCATATCTTCGAGTATATCGATGCAGCTCTTCTGTTTCCTCGATTTTACCAAGTTTGAAACGTTTGCCGAAGCGTTTATGTCTATGTTCCAAATCCTGACGCAAGAAGCTTGGGTAGAGGTCATGGATGAAACTATGCTGAGAACGAGGTCTATGCTGGCACCGCTGGTGGCGGTTTACTTTATTCTGTACCATCTCTTCGTCACTTTGGTACATAAATCAAGGTTTTTATCATAGATATCGCTTATTACTTATTTTATATTTTAGATCGTGTTGAGTTTGTTCGTAGCAGTAATTCTAGATAATCTAGAACTCGACGAGGACATAAAAAAACTTAAGCAGCTCAAATATCGAGAGCAAAGTGCCGAAATAAAAGAAACTTTGCCGTTCAGGCTAAGAATATTCGAAAAGTTCCCTGACAGTCCGTTAATGGTAACCCTGCACAAAGTACCATCGGATTTCAACCTACCAAAAGTATTTATAACTGGAAATATCTTGTTTGTTAAATAATTTTGTCACTTTTAGGTCAGGGAAAGTTTTATGAGACAGTTCGTGTACGAAACGGAAGACGACGAGAACTCCGAAAGCGGTATCAAGAAAATCAGCGAGGAAGTGTTCGATTCCAAGATCGTGTATAGGAAACAGAAACCCTTGAAAGTACTCAACAACTTGCCGAAAGTCCGTGTCGTGAACCTGAAACTGAAAAAAACAGCAGTCGCGCACATCATCGAGTAACAAATTCAACGTTTTACATTCTCCTCTTTTATTTCTGTGTTATTTTAGCGATTCTAACAATCAAAGGTTGATGTTAGGTGATTCGTCTATGATTCCCGTCCCGGGTAGCAAGGGACCGCTGAAACCCCAGGGAACAATCAATAGCATGAAACAGTTACGTATTGATCACAAGAAGTGAGTTGCGACCAATTGGCGTCCAAATTCTGTAATGTTTCTATTGGCATGCAAAATTCAGTTTGTTTTATTAGAAAAACCAGTCGATAGTGTTTTAGTATTTTCACTTAACACCTAATGCTTTAGGCAAAGTCACCCTCCTTTTATAACACAAAGGGTTTTCGAGGAAATTTAGTTGCACAGTGAAGTGGCCCTTTTATTTGTACGTTTTTATCTTTTTAGTAGATTCGGATCACGATCTATAAGGCGAAGCGTCCGTAGCGGGTCTATTAAGCTAAAACAGACTTACGAGCACCTTATGGAAAATGGAGACATAGGCGTCAATAGGGTCACGTCCAACAGGGCGAGACCACATGACTTGGACATAAAATTACTGCAAGCAAAGAGGCAACAAGCCGAAATGAGAAGGTATAATTGACATTTCACATATGTATCCGCATTAAGATACAGTTTTTTAATCCTAACTAGGTCAACATCAGAGGTCATTGATACTGAGATTCACAGACTAAACACAGTGCTGTAAAAAATATTTACTATTTTATTTATTTTTTTAGGTACATTTTATAATACAGCAAAAATAATCATTCTAAAACTACTAGCTTTTAAGCATCGTATATTTTAGAAACCAACGGGAGGAAGATCTACGCGAGAACCATCCGTTCTTCGATACGCCTCTATTTGCGGTACCGAGAGAAAGCAAATTTAGGAAATTTTGCCAGCTGATTGTATATGCTCGATACGATGCAAGGCTTAAAGACCCTCTGACGGGGAAAGAACGAAAAGTACAATATAAAACGTTGCAGTAAATACCGAACTATTTTAATTTACAAAATTACCAATATTTTAAATTTTCAGTAACTTCCTTGGTTTGGTGACGTATCTAGACTGGGTAATGATAACAATGACAACCTTATCGTGTTTATCGATGATGTTTGAAACTCCCTATTACCGAGTTATGGAAAACGTAAGCCTACAAATAGCGGAGTACTGCTTCGTAATATTCATGAGCATAGAACTAGCTCTGAAAATACTGGCCGATGGACTGTTTTTCACTCCCAAAGCGTACGTTAAGGACGTTGCTGCCGTTTTAGACGTATTCATCTATCTTGTAAGTATATTACGACGTTACACTCTCGATCGTAAATACGTTTTTTGTAGGTAAGTCTAACGTTTCTGTGTTGGATGCCGAAAAGCGTGCCGCCTAATTCGGGTGCTCAGTTATTAATGATTCTGCGTTGTTTGAGACCTTTACGGATTTTTACGTTAGTGCCGCATATGAGCAAAGTCGTATACGAGTTATGTCGAGGCTTCAAAGAAATACTTCTGGTAATTATCGACGTTAAAACTTACTCGTACTGAATTTAAGTTTTTAGGTATCCACTTTACTGATTCTTTTGATGTTTATATTCGCGAGTTATGGCGTTCAACTCTACGGCGGCAGATTGGCTAGATGCAACGATCCGAACATCACAAGGCGAGAGGATTGTGTCGGAATATTTCTGAGAAGGGTATTTGTGACAAAGATGAAAGTACAGCCTGGTGAAAATGAGTCTTATCCTGCCATGTTGGTTCCAAGAGTCTGGTAATATTTTTTCACAAACGACAATAAGCTAAATTATAATTTCGATGTGTTTAGGGCAAATCCTAGAAGATTCAACTTTGACAACATAGGCGACGCGATGTTGACGCTCTTCGAAGTTTTGTCGTTTAAAGGTTGGTTGGACGTAAGAGACGTTTTGATAAAATCCTTAGGACCTGTACGTTCTTTAATTTAGAAACATTTACACGACGTAACGACTTTGTTTTAAGGTTCATGCGATCTACATCCACATTTATATCTTCCTGGGCTGTATGATCGGCCTTACGTTGTTCGTAGGTGTCGTTATTGCTAACTATTCGGAAAATAAAGGAACAGCTTTGCTCACGGTAGATCAGAGGAGATGGTAAAGGTGAAGTAAGTTTTTGAATACAAGTGATATTAAAAATTTCCTTAGGTGCGACCTTAAGAAGAGGCTGAAAATCGCACAGCCTTTACACCTACCACCGAGGCCTGACGGGAAGAAATTTCGAGCGTTCATCTACGATATAACGCAGAATATCAAGTTTAAGAGATGCGTCGCTCTCATGGTCCTTATAAACAGCGCTCTTTTAGGCGTTACGGTACGATAATCACTCAGTTAAATTCGTTGTGCGTCAATCAATTTTTTTGTAGTGGAATAAAGAAGAAGCCCACACGGAGATTTTAGCAACAGTAGGAATTATATGCACTCTGTTGTTTTTGGTAGAAGTTGTCATGAAAAACATAGCGTTTACGCCTAGAGGTTACTTACAATCAAGACGCAACAGATACGATTTATTCGTGACTGTCATGGGGGTCATATGGATGTTTTTCCACATAATGTTTAAAGTAAAATATTCTGCAAGTTATAATATTCGTAATACGTTTAACTGTGCTTTCAGAATGATTTAACGTACTTTGTTGGATTCATGGTTGTTATTTTACGCTTCTTTACGATCACCGGAAAACACGCCACGCTGAAAATGTTAATGCTAACCGTGGGTGTGTCTGTTTGTAAAAGTTTTTTCATCATCTTTGGAATGTTTTTACTAGTTTTCTTCTATGCTTTGGCCGGCACTATAGTTTTCGGGACAGTTAAGTATGGGGAAGGCATTGGCAGGTACTATTGCGTTTCAATAAATCGAACATGTATTCATAAAATTCTGTTGTAGACGAGCGAACTTTGAATCGCCCGTAACAGGTGTAGCGATGTTATTTCGGATAGTCACAGGTGAAGACTGGAACAAAATAATGCACGATTGTATGATTCAACCCCCATATTGCACCCCGGCAGCTAATTATTGGCAGACAGATTGCGGTAATTTCACGGGATCGCTAATTTATTTCTGTACGTTTTACGTTATTATTACCTACATCGTTCTGAATCTATTGGTGGGTAAGTTACTTGGAAAACGTTAAATTTCTTGTTAAAATCATGTAAACATTTTCATTTATTTCTATTTCCAGCTATTATAATGGAAAACTTTTCATTATTCTACTCGAATGAAGAAGACGCACTGCTTTCGTACGCGGACATTAGGAACTTTCAAAACACTTGGAATATCGTGGATATTCACCAAAGAGGAGTAATCCCCGTGAGAAGGGTAAAGTTTTGTATTAATTTTTACAACCAACCTCCCGCAACAGTTTTTTTTAGGTGAAATTTATTCTACGGCTTCTAAAAGGCCGTTTAGAAGTCGATCCACAGAAAGACCGTCTACTATTCAAACACATGTGCTACGAATTGGAAAGACTACATAACGGCGAAGACGTAACATTCCACGACGTGATTAAGTATGTTTAAAACCGTTTTCTCTACCGCTGTGTTACACTGAACGATTTTTATTTCCAGCATGTTATCGTACAGGTCAGTCGACATCCGGAAAGCACTCCAGTTAGAGGAACTACTAGCTAGGGAAGAGTTCGAATATATAATCGAGGAAGAAGTGGCGAAACAAACTATAAGGACTTGGTTAGAGGGCTGTCTCAAGAAAATTCGGTCGACGAACGTGAGTAACGAAAATTAATACATATTCCGGTCGATTTCCTACTTTCTATTCTTTCAGAAGCAACAAAACAGCTTAATAGCCGGTTTACGTGCGACGAACGAAGCCATAACGGTGCCAGAACCGAAGGAGGAGAGCAAAAACGGCAGCCCCGAGCAAGAATGCGAAGCAGAAGTGAAAGAAAACGAGGCGGCGGCTAGAAAGCAAAAGCTGGTATCGTCTCTGCCAAGATCAGACAGTATCGGTAGCAGCTCCGGAAGGAAATATCTAGCTCCCACTTTATCGGATCCTGCCGCAAGGCCTGAAAAGGAAAGAATAACAACAAAAAAGAAGAACAGTAGGCATCAAACCGTTGTTGTAAACAAGAATTTCTCTCATTTGAACGAGAGTGAAAGTAGACTGCCCAGGGAGGTTTTCAACAATAAAACTACTGTTCCGAAAGCTACTAGCGCCATGTATGAGATCAGAGATTGGTGGAACGAGCAGTTGGCATATGTCTCTTCGAGTGACGAAGACTAAGGCATCATGAGATAATCGCCTGCAGATTTTCTAATTAGAAGAATGTAATCTAGAAATACCCTTAGTGTATCATATTTCGGTATAAAAATATATTTATTAAGAAAATCGTGACCATAATTTCCCACTTAATAAAATTCAAAATACAGATTACTGAATTCATGGTTAGAATATTTGTGAAAATTTGTATTTTAAAATGTAATTATTTAACTAATTTAATATTGACTTTTATGGAAGAGGATAATGAAAACAGAGTGATATTTATAAACATGTTAATAAAAGTATGATTTTACTGGACCATTTTTATTTATTCATATTTGTATACTTTCCAAAATTTCTATCAATTACTACTTACGCCAAATTCTGGAAGCGCCTACAAAATTCTGAATTTAATTGTAGATTATACAACTCCTCGTTGAGAAAATCGTTTCTAAATTTTCATCAAAAACATTACACATTTCCTATTATTTTAAAATTTTAACATTTTCAAATATTTGAAGGTTATGAAATGATAATCTGCCACCACAAAACAGAGAAAATCTGCCACGTACAAGCGACATCTAACGCAGTACTCGTGAACTAACGCCCTTCGACAATTAGATGAGTAGACAGACCACTACTAAATTCTTCGTGTGCCCCATAAACTTGAAAAGTTTTTATCACATTGTCATTTTTACAAATTATTAGTCTGATTAAAATAATTTTGCAGTCTGATTTAAAACCACTTCCATCGACAATAAAAAACGTTATCAAAATAATACTTTTATTTCGTCTCTTCTGATAAAGGTCACTATGAAAGAACATAATAATTACATTTACATTACTTGTGATTGTGAGCTAAAACAAAATCCATAACACCCTTGAAGAACTCGTGCTATAATCGCGCCTATCTAACAGAGTTACACTTTCTTCTTAACTATTGATATAACTGGGAAGGGGATCACAATATGATAGATTGTATATTTTACTATTTTACTGAACTGCTATTGGCTCTAAAATAGGTTCGTTCTCTTCTGCCCAGTTCGACCACTGTTGCTGGCTGCTTTCGAAGTCGTCGTCGATTTTCGAATTGATATAATTATCGGTCTGAATCCTATAGGGCGAAACCTAAAAATAAGACGTATGCTTTCGGCATTTCTGTACCCAACTTAGAAAGAATGTAAAAAAATACATATAAACGTCACTAATTATGCGAAATAAAATCAACGTACACATCTACGAATGGTCTGTGGTGATGGTGGTTATGGTGGTGATAGGCATGCTTCTACAAAGAGAAATAAAGGTATAAACTGAAAAGAAATCAAGAAGCTTGAGCAAAATATAATAGCAACCACATATGTCCAAAAAATAAAAAAAAATCTATTTAGATTTAGATTTATATTGTGTGATCCTTACGCCGATGGGTTTCAATGAGAAATCAACACGTTGAGCTTCAGAGTACGGTCTATTAACAACGGTAACTAATCTAGTGTGTGGAAGATATCCATCTCGATATGCAGTTACTTTGTAGTTTCCAGGAGTCAAAAGTCTGAAGTAGTCGCCGTCGTGCACTGAAACGCAGAAAATATTTAATCCAATTTCTCAACATTAATATTAAAAGATATCTTTGTATGTTTTGCTAGTCCTAAATATTACAATTTTCCAGTTGTGTTAGCGCCACATTTGGTGAATTCCAACTGAAAATAGAACATCCAGTTCGGGAGGACCAAAACTTTACGAGTGTATTGAGGTGTTGTTTTAAATATGGTTTATAACAGTTGAAAATTAAGCAAAACTTCCTTACGTGACTAGGATAAGTTACCCACCTGACGTGATGTCGTGCTGTATGTCATCCGACCTTCCCGCAGTGATATTTTTGACGTGGATAACAGCGTTGGGAATGCCCTGTTGTGTGATGCTATCGTATACGATGCCCTTAATCCCTAGGTGACTCTAAAACATCGTCGCGTTTACTAATGGATTTACATTTAATTAATATAAATTTAGAAAGCAAACTTGAGTTTTACTATTAGTCAATTTAAAGTACATATATAAATTTAAGGGAATTACTACCTGTTTGAATTGTCACCAGATCATAGAATTACAAGTTTCTTATAGCTAACCTCAACTATTTAAAATGCTGATGTTCAATTAAGTGATATGTCTATGATCCCAGGTAAATATAACAGGTGTTTTATAAATTCATTATTAATAATTTTAAAATTACCGCCGAATTAAATTACAAAGGGAGGACCATCTACTAATTGTTTCCGGAGTTTAGACACATAATTTTACTTCAGGACAACAGATGGCTCTGGCAGTCTGATTTGTTTAGAGTCACTACAATGTACTCTAGATTTGTTTTGTCTATGGTATATTGGACCCTATTATTATTACATTTTCGTCTCAAGATTATTAGTATTTAATATTTATGTTCTGCATTTAAATAAACGCTAAATAATTTGCAATTAATTTGAATAGCTAATATGATTTGCAAATTTCAATAACTAATCCATGTATTATGTATGACGCAAGGGAATTAATTTAAATAAACTCTAGAACAAATGTCCATAACTTTGCAAGCATCACGAACGACGATTTATACGGAGAAAGTTCGTAATAGAACCCAATTTATCCGGCCAGATTAGAATAAATCTTCCGCCGAGAAACTTAAAATTAATTTTTGAACTCACTTGCCAGATATAATGCAGCAGGGCGTCCTTGTTTCGCTCCCACTCGCTCGCTAATACGCTCTCGGGGGGATACTTGTCGCAGCCTAGTTCGAGGGTCAACTCGAAGTCGTTGCTGGAGAGGTAATTAAAATCCTGCATGCCTGCGAAAATTAAGAGTCAGCTACGTCCTAACGGGTAAAGGTCGTCGACCGTGCTCTCGCGATAAAAGGAAAGCTGGCGCAGAAAGGAAAGGTACGTACCTCCCTGCAAACTGTACCACTTAGCACCGTTGGTGATTCCCCCTTGCTTGGCGAAACGGTTGCTGTCTACGTCTCCGCAGCCTTTCCTCTTGGGGCTGGCCATGTCGGTGTGGTGCATGGAATAGGCTAAGGCGAGGTGTCTGAAAGCATTGTTAAATATTTGAAAATATTTAAAAGCAGTGAAAATTAAGGTAACATGCTGGTAACCTCGGAGGAATACGCTTGATTTAACTTAGTTGCAGGACTGGGCCATAGAAAATGGAATATAAACATAGAATGAAATCTGATATACAACAACCTATACCATTTGCATACCTAATATTCCACTGTAACTTCGGCTTCCATATCGTAAGATGGTGCTATTTAGTTTTTGTGATTTCAAACGCAGGTAATGCAGGTATCATTTTGTTTTGATTTTGACCCTTGTTTATGTACTTTTGACGTTTGTCATATGTTAATACGTTTGTTGTCTGCCAAATAAAAAGTTATATAGTTAAACCACAGCAAAATTAAACCTGATGGCCGTATATTTATGTCAACACCAAATAATCCTGGTCCATCAACCAGTTCTACCTTTGTACATTTTGGTAAGTATATTTTCATGAATACAGAGTTTAAGTAGTCAACATTCATGTATTTTAATTTTCATAAAAAGCATATTTTAGTATCACATTTAGCTGTATTTCTATTTTAGGTGATGAAAATAATGAATTGGGTGCAATTCAGTACCGTCAGACATCTGAAAATTCTCAAATAAGGTTAAATGATCCTGTAGCACGCAGTATGTAATATTAATGAGTTAATGTAATATCAGTTTTTATTTGCCGTTTTTTCAGAACATGGTTTGTTGAAAAATGTTGGTGTACATAAGAGTTCACAACTGTCTCCTGTCTCCAGAATTCTGTATAAGCAAGCTTTGTATTACGAGAAGAAAGCTTCCATACTCTCCAAACGGAAAATGGATTGACAACGTAAAATCCAAACTATCGAAAAATGGTCAAAAGAAAAATGCTTTCAAAATTTGACCAAACAATTTAACCATCCTGCAGTTCACTTTTTCAAAAGACAGGTTGAATCATTTGGCAAAAAGGCTAAAGGTAGAAGATTTGACATTGAAGATAAATTTCTTGCCCTTGCCCTTTACAAGCAGAGTAACGCAGCATACAAATTACTATCCTCTTTGTTTATTTTACCTTCAAGAGTAACTTTACAAAAAGTGTTGTCAAGAATTCCCATTTCTTCGGGAATTCATGATGCTGTTTTTAAAGTTTTAAGTTCAGCTAGTAAAAAAATTAAACCCGACAATAAGTTCTGTGTACTAATGTTTGATGAAAAGTCAGTTGAGCCTAATTTACATTATAATCAATTTCTGGATGAGGTTGATGGCCTTGAAGATTTTGTCGGGGAAAAGTTTGAAAAAATTGCAAATTATGTTCAGGTAAGGCAGCCATAAATACGTCATATACCGGGTGACCACTAGATTACTACCCAAGCTCTAGCTTAGGCACGAAAAAAGATATCGATTTAAAATTTTTGGCATGCGTATCATTGAATTTGATGCAAAATTTAATAAAAACAACTGACCGCCACTTCCTATTTGACCGAAAATGCCATAAACTTTGTTATTTCATATGGAACTCCTTGTATATTATTTTTGTTTTCAATTCTGCTGAAGAAACTAACACTAAAATATGTATTATGTCCTATACCTATCTTTGTCAGTTTCCGAGAAAATTGCGCTTTAAAATGGCTAATTTGTCATTTATAAAATCCTTTTGAAAGAAAACAAACGAAGAAAGGGACAAAGTTATATGGTATCTTTAACTTATTTTAGAAGTACTAAAGTCTGATATCATAAAAATGTTGCACTTCCGGCACATCCGGAATAGATATTTTAATGAAACGAAAAAAATATTTAAAAAGAAATGATAATATATCCAAAGCTTTATAAAAAATGTTTTTTATATTGCAAGAGGGTACACACTTAAAATAGAATCTTTATTTTATAAGATTTGTATGCAAGATCACATATAAATAAAATACTTATAAGGTTTGTTCCAACGGTTGCGGTTGCAGGTAGTTTGTGAATTGTCAATTTCCGCAGTTGATTGTTGTGATCTTTTAAAATATACATTTTATCTTAATAATAATGAGTACTAACATTTTGAAGTGAAATAATACTTTTTATCGGATTTGTTAATATATAAGCTGATACAATTTAATATCTAGAGATATTAGTAGATAAACAACAGTAGTTTCTCTGCATTTTACTTGGTACTCGTAAAATTGTTATTTCAATCAGTTAATTATATTAATTAATAAATAAAGATTGCATGGCTTGGACATAATTATATTCTTTATGATTAATCTCTGGCCATAAAATAACTTCATTTTGAGTTCCGACAATTTGAAAATGGCCTGCAGCTGTTGGAACAATCTTATGAATTTGTTAAGTTATGTAAATATAAGAAAATTGGTAGTACATAACATATTTTTACTCAGAATAATTTAGATAAGTAAGTCTTAGTATTAAATATGTCCTTTCCGTTGTAATGAACCATTTCTAGTTTATATAATAAATTGTTTTGTATTTCATAAAATATTTTTTTATTCCTTTAAACAAATGGGGTTCTGGTATGTTTATGCTTTTCCTTTATATTTAAAAGTTTAAATATATATATTAAAGTATGGACAATTTAAACAAGGTAGATTTCTTTACTTTAATATATATTTAAACTTTTAAATACAAAGGAAAAATATTTAATAATAATACCCATGGGCAACAATAAATACTGCACTTAAATTAGGCAACCAAATGTACATATACATATCTGCGGTTGTCTACATTATGCATTAGTTAGGCTTCCAAATCACCAGAGGCGCTGTGGTAATGGTTTAGTGGATTATTTAGGGAGATTTCGTTCTATCTTGTATTTTATTTTTTCTATGGACTGGGCAAAGCCGCTATGCAAAAACTAACGACGTCCAGACTAACCTGAACGTATCGTCGTCCGGGGTTGGGGTATACTCGTCCTTTTGCCTTCCGGAGCGGCTCTCGTCGTAGGGGTAGTTGGCAACCAAGTCCCCACCGTGCAGATTGGCTGACAGGACGAAGGGAATCTGCATGATTAGCCTGATCACGCCCTTGGTCTCGGGTTGTAGCTAAAAAAAAAATAAAATCTGCCGCAAGTTCGTAACTTTCTATAAGTTATAGCTTGTTTCAGTATAGTGTGGATGGAAATGCTACTTTATTTTTTAATAAATTTTCTTAATAAAATTTTTTTATAAACATGTGTCCGGAAATGTTTAGATTTCGAAATACAGGATAATCATTTTGAAGTTTTGAAGCTGAAAATGGATATATTCAAAACGCCTAAAAATAAACGATGAATATTTACAAAGGTATTTTACTTTTTACAATGAAGTGATACAAAATTTTTAAATAGAAGCTAGAGTATTAACTTTTTTTTGTTTCTTTCTTTCCTCGTATCTCGATTCCTCGCACCCTACACCAATATTGACCAGAGCAGCGGTCGCTATATAGGTACATTAATATACCCCGCAAACACCACCGACTTATTTACGGACCATAAAACTCACCGGCTCATTGAGTCTGCTCAGCTGCTCCAGCAGGTGGTTGTTGTGGTCGATGTGGTCGTCCTCGTTAGTGAAGATGATCCTGTCTAGGTCAGGGAAGTTGCGGTTCAGATCGATGGAATTGTTATTGGTGCGGCCGATCAAGTAGTCCTGGCCACCCTGCAACAAACAATAGACGGCGTTATGCGGCCGCGTCAGCCTGCCTAGATAAAACGGATCGTTGATGGCTGATTTACTGATGAAATACAGGTCTAGTTATCGTTGATGGGGGATGTGTTTTGTTTGTCTATATAGCACGGCTGACGCTTTTCATGGATGAAATTTATTGACAGCAACTGCCTTTATGTAATAAATTCTAGGGAATTGAAATAAAAGCGCGAATTTTTTCCATATCTACAATTTTAATGAATTTATTAACTAATTAACAAGTTGCGATTACAGTCACGAGATTAAGTCACAATTAGTCATTGCTTTTTTCACCCTAGTAGAAAAATTATTACTTTGAAGACGCATTTTGTGGTATTTGGACACGAAAATCCCAATTTCGCCCAACGATCACGCGCTGGTTCCCTCGAGCATCGAAAGTGTCAAATCTAGTAGCGTGTAGCGTAAAAATACAGCCGCTTTGCCTCTGTCATTTCCAATATCATATAAAATTCGTAGCATTCCCCGAAATTGAGGGTTCGGAGTCACGTAGGTGTAGAATTGAACAGTTTCCTTGGAAAATCGGATGACGTTAACAAGATTGAAGGGTTTCCCTGTAAAATAGGGACACGGTAACGAAGGGGAGGAACGAACGAACCCTTAGGTAGATGGAAAGGGTTTTAAAATTTAAGACAGGCTCAGGAATAAATTGTATTTAACGGCGGGTTTCGTTTGCAGGAGGAAATTGGGGAGAGAACTCTTACACTGAGAAAAGTGGAGGGCGTATTTCGTAATTTTCGATAATCGACTTGTTTAGGGTTCTCGCAATAACTGTCAGAAACGTTTCCGACGTTTTCTTATACTCGTAAATGTTTATTCAATGAAATAAATTTAACCGAGTCATAGAAGCATAACAAAAAGAATAAGAATTAGTTCTAATATTCAGAGAACTTTTGATTAAAAAGGAGTTTTCCATTTACATTATCTACTTGTTCTCGGTTCACTTAAGAGTTGATAAGCTAAATCGAAAGTGATCATGCACTAGTTTTAACCTCAATATATATGGCTTTTTTTCGCGAGTGAAGTCGTATGTTGTAGTATGTGTAGTATGAGTGAATATTACGTTTTTGCGAGAATAGTCAGTCATTTAAACTACTATGTGACGTCACAAGTTTAGATCAAATGACTGAACTCTTCAGCCTTCAGCTGAATTTTCTGTTGGTATATTCAACTAGTATTGTCAGCCGGTAACTTAACCTTTTTCTTTTTGACATTTTGTTTGAATGAGGATAAAAATCGTTCAGCAAAATGATAGATTCTGATATCACTGTGGAAGTGGTCAGTTTAAACTTAAACTTTAGAGGCACAGATGTTTTAGTAAACATAGACGTTGGAACAGCAAATATTTTACTTAATGGTAAGATTAATTTTTTATATGGGACATATTTGCGATCCACTTTGCTTCAGGATTATCCTCTTTTTTTTTTTTGTGACCTAGGCCAGAGATAATATTAGTGGAATCATTTGTAATTCACGTCTTTTTCGTATGAATTAGATAAAAAACCGACCTAACCTCTTTCTAGTTTAATTTTTTTTTATAAAAAATGTAAGAACACTTGCTTTGAAGCCATATGTCAAAGTCGTCAAAGTACATATGACTATGACAGGCTGCACCACTGAATAGTGAATATATACATTTTCGCGATCTGTTCAGGTTAGACAAGGTTAGATATAAGATTAAAAGAGATAGAAACAGTAACTACAAGTCAGACGTATTCACCAATATTCACTCGCGAAAAAAAGCCTATAGTTATAAATACGTATTTTGATTAAAAAGGAGTTTTCCATTTACATTATCTACTTGTTCTCGGTTCACTTAAGAGTTGACAAGCTAAATCGAAATTGACCATGCACTAGTTTTAACCTCAATATATAGTTATAATTATAAATATGTATTGGAGAAATGACAATCCGATTTTTCTTGCATTTTCTTTCCTTAATACTATTTGTTTGTTTAAAAGCTTTTATTTTCCCCCAACGATAACCCCGTGTACGACAAGGTGCTTTCTTCAAATTAATCGAGATTATCGTTAGATTAAACGATTCGCAACCGTAGCAGCTGCGTGTGGCAGATAAAGCTATTTATTTAGCTACTCTGTCACAATCAGTCTAATAAGAACGATATTGATTGTTTACAGGACGGTGACGTAAATCTCTCAATAAAGTGTTAATTGCGTTTTCGCTAATTTGCGTTGCGAACCATCATTCTGTTTACGTAAATGAATATTTGTTTCGCCTTGTTAGCGACAGTCGAGATTGGTAACGTTCTAAGTGATTATTTGCAGGATTAATACCTAAATGTATAAAAAAATGGTATAGTTAGAACGACAAATATGTTAAAATTGGTTAAGTAAAACGAATAATATAGGTATAGTTATAGTTTCGACATTCTGGTGATGAATACTACACCAAAAAAATATATGCGATATAAATTTTCCCATGTAAAATACATGCAAGAAAATTAAATTGAGTACAAATATACAAGTTATCACAAGAAAATGGTGCACCTTAATGACCATCAATCTAAACCATCTAACAAATGTGCGATAGAGAAAGATGACTATAATGAATATAATAAGAAGTGGATCTTATATGTGGAAAGGCGAAATGGGCGGTGACTATTAGACGCCTTCGTTATAGCCATCTTTCTCTATCTTACGGATTTCTATGACTTTCTTTATCGCTCTCACGTAACAGCCGATGAACCATGGGACTTTCCGACCCTGTAAATTCGTCTACTCAATATCAGATTACCGTTGGTCGCCCATATATTTTTTAATGACAAATTTCGCCTCTTATTTGTAGGTTTTGGTATACTTACCGTGTCCGTGGCCAACTGCCATCCGTCAGGATTCATACTAGGCATGAGGTGGATGCGAGTCAGCTCTGTCAGCGACTTGATCTGCAGATCACCCTCAGAATAACGTTCGCAGATGTAATCGGCGAGCTTGAGAAGCAGTTCTCTGCCCAACACCTCATTGCCGTGCATATTGGCGATGTATTTGAACTCTGGTTTCACTGCAACAACATGAAATTACGATTGTAAAAAGTTACGAACGCAAAAGTGTTTTTTAGTTCGTTTTTTATATTCGTTTTTTTTTTTCGAAAAACATAAGAGAGTAGTAATTTGTAGAAAATTGAAAGACGAATCCGAAAATATCATGATTGTTACCGTAAAGCAGTGGCGTACTATTTTATTTAGAAAAATATGCCACTGACACCCCGTATCTACGTCACTGGAGCATCTTAATTTTTGGAAAATTCGTCAGACATATATAAATACATGTTCCCCATTTCAAATTATTTCACTTACTAGTATTTAAATTATTTAAAAAAAATAAAAAATATTTTTTAAGGTTAATACCCTGTATTTTTTTAACGAAGCGTCCTAAATAAAAACTTTATACGAAAGACTCCCCTTAAAGCTTAAAATTCACCAAAGAATACGAGGTTTCATTTTTGGTCACCGATTGTGAATCACCCTGTACAATTACGTAAATATGAAATAACGATTTCATCAAATATTTTAAGGTTCCTATAACTAATACGTTGGATTGTAAATGTTTTATGTCATCTCGTTTAGTAATTTTTCCTTTTTTCATGAAAAACTAGCAGTAAAATTAACCTTAATTAACTTTAACCTTAAAGGCTATCAGCCCTTAATTACATTTGACCCCCACCCCGCGTATTGACACTTAATTGAAACGAAAGACAAACGTGAGAGGCGTTTACTTAATCACAATTCTATTTATAACTTTCAAGAGAGCGAAAGGTTGAAAGAAGAATTTTTTTCATCGCAAGTATGGATAATTTGAAATTTAATCTTCTAAAATACGTTTCAAATATTTTATATTTCTTTTATTTAATATAAATAAATACAGGATAAATTTGGAAAGAATACATTTGAAGATTAATTTTTTGATATAGAACGTCACAGGGGGTTATAAAGGCTGGCAAAAAATTTAATAAATTTTCCAGGGTCGTATTTAACAAAATGAAGTTGATGGTCCTGGAGAGCCGAAAAGTGAGATTTAAAAAATGATTATGCCATTCGATATAGGCCAAAAAGTTGCCACGAGAAAGTGTTCTTCTTTTTTAAATATCACCTCAAATAATGCTGATATGAAACAAAAACCGATTTCCAAAATTTCGTTTCTCTTCAAATATTTAGAAAACTAATCAAGTTAGCTTTGATTTGTTAGAGACATAATGTTGGTCCCCTGATTATGCAACTTTCCCCCCATTTAAGCTACTTCGGATCTCTTACCGAATTTGTAACAGCCTGTTGCATCAATTTTTGTTTACCGTTTTTTCTACCCTGTTCGAAGTTTAGTTCTGTCTACAATTTTAATTAAATTTTTTTAACTCAAATGGCACCTTTTTGTGAAAATTTGTGAACGTGATCCTACGTTGTTTCTATTAACATACTGGATATAATTAGATATCTAAAAGTGACGTTAATTAAAAACAGTCACGTAGTTCACGTTAGCAAAATTGTGATTATTTTTATAATAACAGATTTTCTCAAAATTTCAAACAATATAATATAAAAGTCTGATACAATTTCGTCTGACAATGAAATTGTTATTAACCGCAGGTCACTTGCCTAATATTTTTCAAATGTAAACTAATGCCGTATCGTGTGGATACTGCATATCGACATTTCGAAAATATCCACCTGCCTTCACCTGCCAAAAACTCGTATTAACAAAAATTATTTATATTTATATTTGAAAAGATATTTGTCATGTGTCATGTGCTTCTATTTTACGTCTGTGTACGATCCAACTTGGATTTTAGTATTCCATGATTGTTCGACGATTTGAAGCTAGCATTAGGCAGTTCCTATACTAAGGATACATAAAAACCTTATCAAAATAATGACAAAATAATATAACATAAATAAAACAAAGAAACTAAGGTACATTGGGCCAAATTTATCATATTTTTACCTCAAGACTCAAGATTATCTGACACCATTTGCGCTTTTCAAAAGCAACCCAAAACAGAGACCAAAAAAATCTACTCACGGATCTCATGGTGCCCGGGCTTGGTGGAGAACTCGATCACGTAGAGCGGCACCCCCAGGACCGAGGTTTCGCTCAAAGTGTAGATCCTGCTGACGTTGGGACACCTCGCGTTGACGTCCTGCAGCACCTGGAGCATCTCCTCGTTGTTGTGGTGCTTGAATTGGAATTGCAGCGTCCCCGTGAGGCACAGGGACACGAAGAGGAGGGTCGCGCGAGCCATACCTGTCAGCTGACGGAGGAAGTGTGGACTCGGGGACGTCGCCGAGCCGTCAGGACGCCTGCGTGGGGGCTCTGTGACGTCGGCGGTGATATGGATTTTCTAATAACTCATGTGGAGGGCTTTTTCGGAAGCTCAGGCGCGACATGTCGAATTTTTGCCATCTGCGAGCTGGACTGTAATTTTAGTATCGTTTTTGGAATGGTTCTGCTTCTGTTATCGACTGACTTTGAATTATGGCATAAGAATGTCGGGCATGGTGGATTAGAAATGCGTTTGAAGGAATGTCAGTGTCATTTCGGTGGGGAATGCAAGGGCAGAGGCGAATAATTTTACCTTATCTAATAACTCTCCTATTCATTGCAGGGTCATCTGTCGATTAACAAGTAGACAAATACATAATGAGTAGATTTTATTTACTTTAATAATTATAAAGAATTTCTACATATCTGAATTAGTAATGAACTGATTTCGAGCCATAAAAGCCATTTTTTGAGCTTTTTGAATGACTTCCGGGCATTTTATTAATTTCTTCAGTTGGCAGTCTTGAAAGAATCCCTCATTCCTGGGAAACCCATTAGTGTCATCGTTGAACGTTGTCAAACCTACAATGCTAATGTCAGGAATAATGTACGTCTGAGTATTCAAGCTTTTGGAAAATAATAATACCTAGACCCCAAATTCTGCCTCCTCGAAACTCTCCTTCATGTCGCATGCCGTCTGCTCTCCAAAAAACTCCATGTCCGTGAAACCAGCCTTGAAAGAACTCTCCCTCGTATCTAAAAAGTACGATTTACAAAAAAATTAATTATTGATACAAGCATGTAACACCAACTTTGCCCCATCAGAAAAAGTTAGTATTCCCAGTCCGTGAAATACCCCATTTTCAAAATCTCCGTCGTATCTAGAACCATCCGGAAATTTTAAATGTCCCTCTCCTTGCCGTTTCCCGTCGTTATTCCATGTACCCACATACACACTTCCGTCTTCGTAACGGTAACCACCAGTAGCGACGATGGAATCTGAAAACAAATCATTAAAAACTGAAGAAATAAAGTGAATATCTTATACGTATTTCATTATCCATTATAGGAATTTATAAATAAGTCGTCAATGTATGTAGTTTGTACAAAAATGAATATCTACCTAATTTGTAGAATAATTCAATTATTAAATAATCCAATTATTGATTATAGTCAATAAATAGCGCTAGTCAAATGTTGTGTACGTTCATAACCGACTCTAGCAAACCCTTAAGCAAATTTTATAGACAGTTGAGGAACGTACTACTATCAAAAATCGCACCTATGCTATCGCTATTTATTTTTTATATTGACTTCATGTACTTTTTACTTATTCGAATTATCCATTTAGTTTAATAAGACTTCAGTGTTTTAATTACGATTAAATAAAGATTAATTTAGATAAATGCTTTGTTATAATTACCCGTAGGCAACCAGTAATAACCTCGATGATTTAATTGGTCGCCAGCCAGCCATTTATGGCCATTTCCGGAGTTAACAATCAGCCATATTTCAAAGATGTGGTTAAACTGCGCTGAATCGGTATAATTTTTGTAAACACACGCATTGTTTGTAAATAAAACTGAGGTTTTTTTTCGTCGAAATGGTATCTACCAGAGGGATTAAACTGAAGTTTTTTGAGGGAGAGAGAGTGTTGTGTTACGAGCCGGATCCAACCAAAGCCAAGGTTTTGTACGATTCAAAGGTAATTAAAACTGTCTAACCTACACCCTGCCAGCACTGGTGTTGGTTTCCATTAACGATGAATATTCCCTTAATTTTACAATCAATACTTTGCTAGGTGTTGGATATAGTTATTAATAAAGACCACAGGGGAAGGAAGACAGTGGAGTACTTGATTCATTTCCAAGTAAGTCATTTGTTTTGTTTGTTTCTCTTTCACAGCTTGTTTATATTCAGGGATGGAATTCATCTTGGGACAGATGTGTAGGTGAGGAATATGTGCTTAAAGACACTCCAGAGAACAGGCAACTTCAAAAAGATCTTGCAGAAAAGTCACAGCTACAACTGTAAGTACTTATTCTTCGCAAACTTTATTTCTAGGTGTTGAGGTATGTTATTTTTAGTGGAGCATATCTCTACAGAAAGGAAAGGAAGAAAAACAGGAAAACAAGTGAGAGAGCATCAGCCTCAGAGGATGGTAGTTCAGGAAGCCCTGCTAGAATGGATACAGATGACGGACACGGTATGACTAGTAGCTCCGAGGATGATTCGTCGATGGAAGACGATAGTATTCATATCGAATTGACGTCTGACTTGAGGGAAATCCTCGAGAATGACTATTATTTAGTTAAAGACAAAAATAAGGTTAGTTATTCAAGTAATCTAGTTACCCTGGGTTATGTTAACAAAACTCTTTCATTCCAGTTGATGAAGTTACCGGCAGAGCCAAATATAGTAACGATTTTAGAAACATACTACAGACATTACGCGACAAACCAGATTTGTGGACTGACGGAAAAATCGAATACAAGATACAGACCACCTCCGGTGAACAATCACGTGAAACCGAAACCAGAGGATATCCAGAAAAAGTGAGGTTATATATGCGAGTTTTAAAACAACGTTCGACTGTTTTTTCTTTCTAGCTTGACCGTGTGTAGGGAAGTGATGGATGGCTTGAGAATTTACTTTGACTTCACTTTGAACGATCTGCTGTTGTATAACCCCGAAAAATCACAGTTTAAGACTGCGCAAGCCGTTTTCTTACCTCCAACGGCGGAAGTTAAAAACGAGTAAGGACGCTTTTGGTACGTTTCTTAATTATTAAATAACTTTAACGTTTTCTCGTAGGATTAAGACGGAGGAGGACTATGCTAATTCCAACAACAACCTAAACAACGGCCACTTCAGCCACAACGGAAACGATACCAGTCAGATTAGTTCAAGGAGGCGTACGTTAAGGTCGAACAGGAGCGAATCTCAAAGCAACGGGAACGTAACGCCTCCTGATGGCAACGGCAGCAGCAACGCCAAGCCTGGGTCAAGGTAAGGCATCGAAATAATTCATTTTGGACAATTTTTTAAACAAATTGTTGAATTAGGAGTTTCAAATTAATACTTGACGGTTTTTGTCATCGCCACGTTTTTTTTAGTGTCGGCAGCAGTAATTCCGACATAACGGGGCCGATGGCCAAAACGCTGTCCTGGAGGCTATTACCCGAACACGTTTACGGGCAACAGCCCCCGCCGCCTTGTTTGGTGTACGGAGCGACTCACTTGACGCGACTATTCGTAAAACTTCCGGAATTGTTGACGGCTACGAATATAACGGACGAGAAATTGAAGGTTTTGCTGAGGCACATCGATCTGTTGACTGAGTAAGTACCCTTAATTTTTTTTATATGATTGTTGACGTATTTTAACTCGTTTTCAAGGTTTTTTTGGTGTTTTTATCGTTCCGATTTCCCAAAATACTGAGATAAATTATAACGTTGCTATATCCGTTAAAATAATTTACAACAAAAAAAAACGGGTAACAATGTGCATTTTGTTTATAATTATGTCGTAAAAGTGAATATTTTCTTGTTTTAATGCTTTAAAACTAATGTTTACGAATACATTATAATTAATTCGTATTTATATGTGTCTGAATTGTATAATCGGAAAGATTAGAGGTTCGTAACTGTAATTACGAGATAAATATTATGCAAAATTTCTCGGAATTTATGCAAATTATGTCACGTCTAGCAACTCTACTGGAAAAAAAACAGACTTAATTTCATTTTTAATTCCGATTTTAATATTTTAGGTGAAAGATATTATTTTAATTTTTAATAATAGCCTCAATTTTTTGTCCCCTTTCGGTAATGACTCAGTTAATGAAATTTCAGCCGAAATGTAAACACAATTCCGCTTTGGGAGATTCCTATTATAACTCCCATAAAAAGTGTTTCGGGTAAACCCAAGAGTTCGTTTACACCGGCCGGTCGATTTCAGCTGTACGGTGAATGCGGTTTTGTAATAATCGAACTATTTTGTTCAGTATGGAATTACGACTTCGCCACTTTTTTCCGTCTGTTATTAAAAAAGCTATGTTTGCGATAGAATCGCTTTTGTTCTCTTTTTCGCAAACGCTCCAAGGTCGTTTCGAGAAGAATGTAGTGTGCCGGTATATGGAGCAATGCAAAAAATATTTCGTTTAAGATAACAAAAATATACAGGATGTAATTTTAAATGGGGTTACATTTGTAAATCGTTAGCTTGTTTTCTTAAATTCTGATGTGAAACATGATTTCTAACCTTTTTTTTCATAATTTCCCACTGGACATATCTTTTTTTTATTTATATACATGTTTTTTCATAATCGCACAAAAATTTTACAATGAAGACACACAAACACTAAGTAACAATAAAATAGACACTGCATCATACAATTCTATTTCGATTCCAGTAAAAACTAACGTAGAAAGTCATGAAACTACTTTCTCGTAAATGGGTAAACTGAAAACTAAAATAAATGTAATAAAACATATTCTTTTCCTCGAATTGCCTACCTAGCGCCCTGTTGTCATATCACGTCAGGTGGATTGATAGTATGATGCGAAGGCATTGACACGAGATTCACAAACTAAACACAGTGCTTTAAAAAGTAGATTCACCCTGTATATTTATATCGTATCGCTTTATGTGCGGTTGTTTTTGTTAAACCAACGTACTACTGACCATTTTGTACTTTTAGCTTTTTAAACGATCATAAGGAGTGGTACGGGGAGCAGCATTACACTGATACGTATTAAATGTATACACCATCGTTTTGCCAACATTTTTTTTTAGATTTAAGCGTATAGTTATATTTTTCGTTTATCCTCGTTACCGTAGAATATGAATAAATGTGATATTTTAATATTATATATTTGGTAGTTCTAGCGGTTAGGCTTTTAAGACTGAATTATGTTGATACCGTTTCGGATTTCAATAAAATTATTCGAGAAATGTTCTGCGAAAAGTATATTTTCACCTAAATCCACCAGTCCTAAATCCCGGCCAAACGCTCCCAAAAACACGTCAAATGTTGGTAATAAAAATGTTCTGTTTAGGAAAGTGCGAAACTTCATAAATTCGTTTAAAAGGTATAGTTTAAAATGTACTTTTATTCGTTTTGTACATTTCATATACAGGGCGTCCAGATTTATAGGTGTACAAGCCATTAATGAAGTAAGTAAAAAAAGAACGGGGTTTAATATTTTTTCTAGACTTTTCTCAACGTTGTGAATCCTAAATGTATTACAATTTTTTTTTTCTTCAAAAAGTTGCATTAGCGAATTTTTTATGAAAAATCTGATAACGCTTTGTTAATCTACATCCCTCAAAATCTCACCGTATCAATTTTTATAAAGATTCATTCGTTTTTATATTCAAATATAAAAAACTTAACAATTATAAGGATATATCCCCTCAATCTAACCGCTCGAAAACTTGTGCGGGAGAGGGGGCGGCGTATTATTATTCAGTAGGCCGCATGTGCTCCCAGGAACGACTCACGTTAGTCGGTGTGGGAATGAGGGAAGTCTGGAAAACCTCATAAAGTAGGGGCGTGGTCAAACGCCGATTTTTTCAAGTCAAAGGCTTAGAAAACGCAATTTTGGAGGTTATTTTTAAAATTTGCGCAATTTGCGAGTTTTGTTCCTATTTCGATAAAAAGTATATGGACTTTGTTTTCTTGTAAACACCTAAAAATCAAGACATCTTGTATATGGTATCCAGATAACTAGATTTTCTCGAAGCACCTCCGATTTGAATTACTACCAAAAATAAATCATTGTTCATGGAATATCCCAAAAAAAAAAACTTTAAGGTAAGTAAAACTTAACTTGTTCGAGAAGGTATTTTTTTGTTAAAAATACATTTCTATACATTTTTTTTGGTAAATTGTTTGTTCCTATAATACCTATTTCAGCTACTTTGATCGAATCGTTTAAGAAATAGGCCAACCAACAAAGATTTTTTGGCCACTTAGCTATTACAGCAAATTTAATGTAATACCTTTCAAAAAATACTTAGTAAATGAAAATCCAAGTGATTTCACCAGCAAAGTCGTGAACAATTTTTTTTAAACAATAAAAATTGCATTTTTTTTAGTTGTGCAAAAACTATGCATCGGACAGAAACCATCTTGGGCACGATTAAGCTACATATTATTACCTGTCATTTTCCGCAAGATTGTTTTTCCAGCTTCAAATTTGACGGAGTTATGAATTTTTTAAAAAAAGTCCTTAGAGGTTTTTCCGGATTTTCTCTGTAAAAAATTAACCGAGCGGGTCGCAAAAAAAACATTTTGTAAGTTTTTTTATTCTCTACAAAAGTCCATCATTATTTTTCGAGATATTATAAAAAAAATGTTTTTTGCAGTTTTTCTTCAAAAAAAAATTGTTCACGACTTTGTTGGGGAAATCAGTTGGGTTTTCATTTACTTATTTTTCAAAAGGAAATACATGAAATTTGCTGTAATATTTAAGTATAAAACAGCCTCTTTTTAAGCACATCTTTAGACCACTGCAATTATGTAGATTCATTTTTTATGTGATTCCCGATAGGAACTGATAAGTTTTTTTTAAATTAATTTAATTTCCTAAAACTGCCATATATTATCGTTATCATTCCCGACTTCTCAAGGTTATGTTACACATCATTATCGGCGTTATATAATAAAGTTATTTTTATCTCAAATTTATTGATATGGTAAATCCCGGGATTCTCCCAACCCAGATTATCTTCATTTACACGCATAAATTATAATAATAATTTGCTGATAAAGACCAATTATTTGATAACAAGGAAGTACCTGTACTGTATAAAACAATTTTCGCATTTCGTAAATATAATATAATTATGCGCATGTAACGGCGAATTTTACTTTAGATATGCTGAGTCACTGCATATACTTACGTCCATCTTTTACATGCGTTTGGATAATGTCTGTCATCGTTCCGGTGAAGAAGATCAAAGATCTTCAATTGAATGTTCTTTGCCCTCAGAGCTAATTTGAGATTAGAAAGGTCAATCAATTAAATAAAATATATAAAAAGATCGTATTGTTAGTCAACAGTAATAATAATTCAAACAATTACTTTGCGCGAAAGTAAATACTGAAGCAGACAACACTTATTAAAGTCAATACAGAAGAATTGTCTAACAAATGTCATACTTACTTTAAGTATGTAAGAGATTGGAGGTATCGCGGGTGTTGTAGGATAATAACATTTTATATATTATTACATATTCGGAAAGAGCTTTAAATTAAAAAAAAATCGTCAAGATTCGTTGAAAAACAACGGAGTTACAGACTGTCAAAGTTGACGGCCTATTGTTAAACAAATGGGTTGGTAGCGGCAAAAAAAAATACTGTCATAACCGGCAACCCGAGTAGGTCCGCTGTAAAGGAGGTCCGCTGTAAACAAAATGTATCAGGAAGCAGAAGAAAACCGTATAAAAAAGCGAAAAGTGTACACGAATTTTTGAGTTGTTGAAATCAATTTTCCACTTCCTACTCCACTTCGGGACGTGATTTTTTTACCGGGGAAGTATAAAAAAAGTTTATAAAATTAAAATCCCGTTGGCAAAACCTAAAACAGACCGCTTCGAGATAATGCGCAGTATTATAAAAATCACATATGCTATTCGCACGTAGGAGAAAAGTAAAATACCCGTAAATCTTACCCAGGATCTAATCCGTTTATCGATAAGCGACACTCATAAAATTTCCGGAAAAACGAGCAGGAACTGCTGCGTCTTCCGGCTCAGACGGCGCCGCCTGCTCCGGAATGCGCCTACACGCGATGCAAATTTTTCTCCCAACTTTTTGTAGTATGCATAGTCGATATTATTTATTACGAAATCAAGGTAAGCCCGGTTCATTGATGATTGAAAAAACGGTGCGTCGGCCTTGACTGGCAGACCGTCCGTTGGTGGGGATTGGGGATCCCGACCGTCCCCCTTCGCCCCCCACCCAACGGGCGCGCTAGTAGTTGTATTTCCCCGCGACGTGACGTCACGCAGATGTTCACCGCGACGCATGCGCCTCGCGGCACCCGGCAATACGATTTGAGGAACTTGGGAAGTTCATTTAATCATTCGTCTCATTTTTCCAAATTTACTGGAATCAGGATGAGTCTCGGTGGTGTATATCAGTGTGACGTTTGCCTGAGGAATAACTCAGTGAGATTGGTGCCTCTAGTGAACCACGAAAAAGTGCTGGCGCTTAAGCTGATCAAGAACAGAAGAAAGTTGGTAAGTGCACGTCAGTTTCACATACCTATTTTTTTCCGGGTTTGATTTTCGCGGTACCGGTGTATTGGCCAAGATTTACCTTCAAAAAAAATCAAAAGAAAATGTTGATTTTACGAAATTTCACTCTACGTCTTTTGTTCTTGTATCGCAACCGTCTTTTTTAAATTAATTCAGCATACCCTTCCAACAACTTTGTTTACAAGCTCTTCTATATTTACTGAAAATATTTCAAGGATGTTTAGTGAATCTTAATTTAAAAGTTTAATATTTTTATGAAACTTTACTGAAACAAAGAAAAGGTCATTGATTTACTTCGTACATTGAGCTTCTATTAAAGAATTGAATCGGAACAGATTTTATATAAAATATAATTAGTAATTAAAAAAAACGTTTATTTATTTTTTGTTTAAACTAAATAAATTTGTCCACAAAACCTCGTGTAGAAAAATATTTCATGAATTTACAATTTATTTTTTTACCCCAGTAATGTAGGCAACAAGGCGCGCGTTTAGCTGTAACAGGGGTTGCATACATTTGTAGAGAAAGTATAAGATTTTGCAAAAGTGAAAAAGTGTTCTTTATTTTGATAAAATTTGCACCTTGAATTTATGTACACATTACAAAAGGGATTATTTCAAGATAAGAAAGCTCAGAATTCCCAAATACTTATCTATTAGGTAAGTTCCGGTTAGGCAATTTATGAGAGGTGGTAATCCGGTGGTATAAAATTGTATAAGTAAATTCCCGCTTTTCGGTTAGACAGCGAATATGCATTTTCGCTTTCTTTGAACAATTTTTTAACATTCAGTGTTCTTGGTTGGAAAATTTGAAATATTTGTAGTGTTTAGTACCTAATTTGAGACCAATAGTAAGTAATTCTTGGAGAATAGCAAATTAACAATTTGTAACAAACTTTCAGGGCTTTGCAACATTTTGTTATGACTTAAACACTCCGTTTTCAAGTCGTATTTAGTCTAGAGCTAAAGCTGTGGGAAATTTCAATTTTTTAATACTCACGTTGTCCAAAATTTATTGTAGTTTCGTTGATTTTTACCGACGTTTTCCATCGATTATAAAAATGATTTTTATCACTGTCGTTACATGATTCAAATCCTTTATAATAGTTTATATTCAAGGATCTTATTTTTATTGAAATAAAAAATATTTTTAGACTTAATTACTCACTATTTAAAGAATTTTAGTTTCTTTTATTAATTGCTCGTTTAACTAACACATAGGATCACCTTGCTCTTGTATAACTGCAAGTCATCTAGAGTTAGAAATTTCCTAACATACCTGCCAATGGAAACGTCGTGACTCAACTTCAGCATAAAAATTTAATCGTATATATAAAAAATTTTGTTGCAAAATCTTATACCTGTTTCAATAAAAAGGTAATATATGGGAAATTATTGGTAGCAATTGCATCTAGTGTTGCGGTATATCAAAATGTTGTTCCTTAATATTAGTACAGTACAATTTTTTCTCACGAGCAGGTAAACAGTTCTTTTTATGTTTTGTTTTTATGTCACTCTTCCAAAGTTAGCCTAAAAAGATGTTTAGATTTGAATGCAACTGATAAAGTGTATCTAGATTATCAATTTGCTTTGATTCGAACAAAATGCCCAAAAAAAACTTAAAAAACATAAAATTGTTTCGCATCTAGAAATTAACAATTCAGAAAAAGGGAAAAACTGGAAACAACTGTTTGATTCTTGAGCAAAATATGGGAAAAGTTGAGAAATAATTATAAAAATTTGTTTAAAAACACTTATTATTTTATTTCCTCAGTATGAAAATAACAAATTTGAATTAAATTTAACCCGTTGTCCAAAAAAATAAGATGAAATTCACATTTTAATTTTTTTCTTTAACATGGGCAATGCTAGAGACACGAAACTTGGTATGAGCATGCTACTAATAAAAAGACAACTTTTCAATATTTTTTCGATCATTGGCGTATTTTATAAAGGAGTGAAACAGTCAACCCCATTGCAATATTTTATTAGAAATTTTTTATATGAAGCAAATTATTTATTTAAAAATATTTATTGGGAAGACTGATTTATTGCGCAACTTTTTTACCTTTTGTAAATTTTCGATAAAACCGATAGTTTTCTGGTAAAAAAATTAGATGCGTCATCGTTCACTAAACAAATAAATTGTTATTTATCATATTAATAAATTGACACTTTCTGTCAACCAATAATTAGTACCAACTGATTAATTTATTATCAAAATAATTATGGCAAATAATATTTATACCAATGACGAATATGTCGACATGCTCCAAATGTCTTTCGAATCTAGAAAAAATAGTAACGCTGCAATAAGGTGATACCACCAAAAATATCCAAACCGACCGATTCCTCATAGACTAACATTGGCCTCGGTGGAAAGAAGGCTTCGTGAAACTGGTAAAATTCAACCCAATCGTGAGGGTGCCGGAAGAAGGCATAATGTCCCAACTGTTGAAACTGAGGAAGCTATACTGGAACATCTAGAACAAGACTGTGGTACAAGCATGAGACAGGTGTCCAGGCAACTGCAAGTTTCTCACAGTCTTGTATGGAATGTAGCTCATGAAAATCTATACCTTTTTCACAATCAACCCGTGCAAGAATTGAATGGCCCTGATCTACCTAACGCGTGAATTTTTGTCAATGGTACATTAATATTTCCAGGCATGAATTTCCTAAAGAATATACTTTTCACCGATGAAGCAAATTTTCCTAGAGTAGGTGCAGTAAACCTTCATAATGTTCATTCATGGTCGGAAGAAAATACTCATGAAATATTTGTTTCAAGAAGTCAACATAATTTCAGTTCAAACGTTTGGATGGGAATTGTAGGAAATACTCTAGTAGGTCCTTTTATTCTTCCACACAGGCTTGGAGCGGTCGAGTATCTCAGATTTTTGAACGAAAATCTTCCAACATTACTTGAGGATGTAACCCTCGCTACATGTCAGGTGATGTGGTATATGCACGACGGGGCGCCTGCATATAGTACACTTGCCGTTAGAGAATAGTTAAATTTAAATTACACGAATCGCTGGATTGGTCGTGGTCGTGATGCCCCTGTTGTTGGCCTGCACGTTTACCTGACCTAACGCCTATGGATTTCTTTTTGTGGGGACACATCCTTTATAAAATACGTCAATGATCGAACAAACATTGAAAAGTTGTCTCTTTATTAGTAGGATGCTCATACCAAGTTTCGTGTCTCATCATTTAAAGAGTTTGTTTATCATTTAAAGAGTTTTTCCGTTTTTTCTGACGTTCGAAAGATATGAAAAAAAGTTCATAGATCTTTCGTTTGATTTTTTCTAATTTTCAACATTTTCCCTAGGTGTTACTTCTGCGAGAACCCACCTTCGCCTGTCTCCGCTGCTTCGGCAAGCTCTACATGTTCAAGCTCTGCATCCGCAACGTGCTGATCACTCGCAAGATAAATGGGAACATGCACAGCCAGTCCTCCTCCAAAGACAAGGACAGTTCGGACGACCAGCCCGAAGAGGGCGACGCGACAGAGCCCTGCCTGAACGACTACACCTGCCAGTGCACCACGTGTCAGGGCAAGTACGGCAGCCTGCCGCTGCTCCTCCAGGTCATCGAGCAGAAATCCCGCGAAGAAAAGACTGAACAGACACGGACCCGCTCGGAGGAGCCCCAGCCCTCCACGTCTAGTCAGGAGTCTGACCCCAAGTCCAGGAGGGTGCTAGTGTGCCAGTTCTGCGACAAGAGCTTCACCCACAGGGGCGACTACAACAAACACCTGAGGAAGCACACCAAGGAGCAGCCGTTCGAGTGTCCCGTCTGCAAGAGGAAGTTCGCACATACCTCCAACTTGCAGAGGCACTACAGGCTGCACAGCGGCCACAGGCCTTTCGTCTGCGCTAACTGTGATAAGACCTTCAGCAGGAAGGACAAGCTGGAGTGTCACATGAGGAGTAAGTTTTGTAAGAAGAGCCAGTGTTCCTGATATTGTACCGTTAAGTATGCCTGTAGTATTTATTTTTGTAAATAAACCGTTTTCCCGTGAGTTCTTTTTTTTAAATTAAATTTGGAAGGTCTCACATACGGCAAGTTCAATCTGTCTGCTCTTATTGTCTCTCTTTCAGTCTTCACTTTACCTAAAATTATAAACGCTAGTAAATAAAAAGACTGGTCTCACTAACATTGTTGAAAACTGCTGAAGTTGACATGTCGCCACCTGGGGTTCTAATAGCGTCATTTAGTAAATTTTCAAAAACGTTCTTATTTTGTATACACAAAGTATTGTTCATGATTAGGCGACCCTGAAAATTTCAGCTCAATCCGTTGAGCGGTTTTCAAGTTATATGATTTTTAAAATGCGAATATTTGTCTCAACCGGGGCAATGCTATGACGTCACCGCATGGGACGGTCACCCAAGCCGGCTTGGTGCTACTTCCAGATGAGTTTCTGCTTCTACAGATTGTTTTAGCGTTTATGCATATTAAATTTAAACAAATGGAAGCATATTTCGTAAAAGCAGATTATTCTAGTTTGCCAGAAGTAGATTTGTTAATGGTTATGGATTTTTTTAATAAAAACCACGACTTTATCAGTGCTGAGATGAAAGGAGTGAAAATGCAAAGGTTACGTTTCAATAACGTGTAAAGCTTCTTTAAAGTACGTTTGTAGCGAAAGTTTTGATGTTTTTGTGCAATAAGAATACACACATACACAAGTGCATAGGGTACAAACGTATGCATAACGCAGGATAGTTTTGTTGCTTTCAAAATAAGTAATTTTTCAAATAAAGGATATTAAAAAAAAACAAATCAAAGTAGACTAATAGACTATTGATTTTAGATCAACACGACAGAATTAGGGGGACATTATTATTTTCTTAGGCGTCTTCACACTAGTGCTCTCACACTGGGGAACAATACAATATTTGTAATTTTTTTCTGTTCTGTGTCTTCCATATTGCTAACAAAATTCGGTAACTGAACATACTCAAACGAAACTTAACGGTCAACTAAAACCCGACTATACCTGAACCCGACTGACTGGCAACACACGCAAGCATGCGGCATCGGTTTCCCATGCGGTGACGTCACACCGGCCGGTTCAGCGGATACTGTGTGGCGACATAAAATTCTAAGTTTTTGCAGAGAATTTTAAAATATCTTTTATGAATTTTGTTCCATAATTTTGGAACACAGTGTATAACAAATTTTGCAGCAGAGAGATCCAGAACACACCTGGATTGGACTTGATTTCGAGCACATAACGTTTTTTCCGCGGCCACAGCGTTTTGTCGACATTTACTATAAATCAATAATGTATTCACCAATTCGCGATTACTGTGATTATGCGTCATTATAATAATATTAGCCTTTATTGATGTGGAATTAAAAAATTGTAACAATTTATTTAAGTTAGTACGTGTCATCTTTCTTTGTTTGTTCTCTTCGGTGTTACTTTCGTTGAGAGAAAATCAAATTCAGTGGGGTTAAAATTATATTTATTCAACATTTCTTATTATACATAAAACGACTACAGCCAACTGCATCATAATACGATTGAGAATGCTTACGCCACATTTTATTGTACACCAAGTTTAATATAATGTGTGGTATAGACATCGAGATACTGAAATCTAAACAATTCCGAGAAATTATATATTTTTTTTTACATTTAATAACGGTGGGAATCAACGTTGACAAAAATTATGAACACTCCTTAGATACAAGTCTGTTGTAACTGCAAATAATTTTTGAGAAATCCTCTGGTATCCTCGGAAAGCTCGTTAGTTTTCTCCGTCAGCGGATATTCCGGACATATATGCGGAAATCTGGAAAAGTAAAATCGTTTTTAGTTAGAATAAAATCGTAGATCGCGGTCGAATACATCTGCAAAGCGGTAGGGGCCTCTTTATGATAATTGATAAAAAAGTTACTCATCTTTTGAATTTGGTATTCCTTTGAATTTACATGTTCGTTAAATTTTTGGGGGAAATGCTTGAATTATTTTTTAAGGCGTTTTTGCCAGTGTAAAATATACATTTAGAGATTTTTAAAAAGTTTACTTACAGGTAGATCATCGGATCTTTTTCCGAAACGAAGTCGAAGGGAGCGAGGCCTTTTTACTACCTGCATAAAATTAATATTTATCGAAAAACTCCCAAAATACAACATAAAATAGTGATTTGACAGTGTGTATATTAGAAGGGGAAAGAAAAATATTAGCACTAGAAATTGTTTGGTTTGGTTTTGAACTAGCTTTATCTTTATATGTGTGGTGACAACGCTGAAATAACATACTAATTTTTTAATAAATACAATTTGACCTCTCGATGAGTGTCTCGGTGTTGTCAGATGTATCTTTTTCTGATAAATTTAGTACAACTTAAAAAAATCTAACATTTTTGTAAAAGAAATATAGACCAGTCTGATCTGTCGAAATACTGGAGTACCTTCAGTACAGCTCACATAATGAAAGTGTAGATCCCTAGATCTGGGCGAGGTCCGGAACATTTTCAAAATTGCAAAATTAAATAAAAATTTTTAAAAATACCTATTTTATCCGAGTTTTTTACTTACATCTTGGAATCTATGCATTTTGGAAGAATATTGAAGAGGAAAAAAGTTTTAGAATTGAATTTTGCACAGTATACTGTAAGTTAAAAATGTTTAAATTTATTACCGATGTTGAAAATAGCAATAATTCATGAAATAAAGGTAAAATAATCAAGTATTTTGGTTAATTTTTAAAAAATATTTTAATTGCTCTGAGGGCATTCTAATTTTGGGAAAAAACTTTAGACTATAATAAAATAACACCAAATTTCGTTAAAATCGGTTCGATTGTTTTCGCGAAATAATTTTTTGAAAAAATTTTGAAAAAATTCAATTTCAAGATATAAGTAAAAACTCAGATAAAACAGGTATTTTTTAAAACTTTTTAAATATTTTTGCGATTTTGAAAATATTCCGGACCTTGCCAGATCTTTTATTATGTGAGTTTTACTGAAGGTAATTCAGAAAAAAATTGCTTGCCCCTTCTCACATCTACCTCAAAACAGATCTGCTGGCCTACGAGTGATTCTGTAAAATTTGAAACGTATACAGTGTGTCCCAGAAAAGGGTACCGCACTGTTTTTACTGTTGATTTTGCGAGAAAATAAAATGTTTTGCTTATCTTGGAAAGCCATGGGCAGTAATCAAATATGTAATAATACATAGAAGGCGTCCAAAAAATTTCAAAATGGGAAATAAGTGCCTTTAATTCTTGTTTCCTTTAAAAACTGAATTTAACAAATTTGTTCGAGAACTCAAGAAATGCTTAAATACTTTTGTTTTAAATTTAACATAACATTAAAATAGATTGGTAGAACTATTTCCGGGTTGATTGCCACGTTGTCGGGTTTCATGACGTTTCGAGAGACATCGTTCTCTGCCTCAGACGTAACTCTGAACATTTTCGAGTTTTTGAAAAGAGCGATATGTGTTTTAAGTAAAAAAATAAATCTTGTTCATTTGTGACCACATCAAATGTATTTGTTGCAAAACGTTGAAGCTACAAAAACAGTTACAGCGTTTTCTTTAAAAAATTTAATTAAAAAATACACTTTTTAAGGAAGTAGAATTGTACTAAGGTAACTTGATCTAAACCAGTATACTTATTTATTTATTTTAGGGACTTTTAGGTACATTATTATTTACGAAGATCGTCCGCGTAGCTAGTATCAAAACTTGCCCACCGAATTAAAACAAACTAGGTCAAACCTTAAGAACGTACGGGTTATATTAAGAAAAACACTCGGATATGTATTTATTACCAGCTTTGTCACCAGTTCCAGTCCCGTTTTAAGATCGGCTTATTTTTAGCTTGTGACCACCGTTACCAACGCCGTGGTTTTTACCGTCGAGTTATAAAAATATCCGCCTTTGTTACTTACGGGCTCGTAGCCGGCATCGGGGCGCTTTCCGAATCTGAGACGCAACTGTGGTCCCCTGGACTTCCTCACCACCTGGTGGAGGCCCATCCGGTCCTCCAGGTTGTCTCTCTGCATCAGGATTTCGAAGAGGTCGCGAATGTTATCTGGAACGAGAGGAAAATTAAGAAGCTACGGTCAAAAGTTCGATTTCGAAAAGTTGGCCTTGGAGAAATGAATAAAATAGAAACAATTGCTTAAACAAGAGCTACGTAGGCCAGGAAATATAGAAGTTGGACGCGACTTTTTGTTTCGGCAAGTTGAATTTACCACTGTAGATGCTAATTATTATGTACAATAACATATTAGTTTCCACAGTCATAAAAATGGGAGGAAGATTGTTTACAGGGTGGTTAATTGTATAATTTTTACGTAAATTCACGTTTTTCGCTTATAACTTTTTTCAGTTCATTTCCACGAGAAAGCAGTAAAGTACTTTTTTTTCGTCTTCAAAAGACCTACAAAACTAGCCCTCGAGCATCAAGAAATATTGATTAGATCAAAAGTTATAAACGGGAGTTTATTTATGACTTTTGAATTAAATATTTATAAACTGCGTTATTATTATCAGAACGTTTTGGCATCGCATCCTCCCATTCCTTACACAGACAGGGGTGCCAGACGTGAACTGATTCCTTCATCCCTTCATAATGCATAAAGAAATTATTCAATTTCTAAAACCGTTAAAAGCGTATGGCACTGGATCCCTTGACAGGCAATGATTTATTACTTTGCATCGAATATGATCCTACTGTAATATGTTATTTGCTTGCCGAAACAAAAAGTCGCGAAATGGTAATTTCCCAGCTTATTTTCCTGGTCTATACGCGTATGGCATGTGCATAGATAACAGTAGGGTAGGTTCTTTCAACCGCACACACACGAGAAAGACGACGTGTTTCAATTTATCTAATTTGCTGTTATGTACTTATTTTTTTAAATAAGCTTGTACCTCAAAGGAAACTTACTTCAATTATTTAGTCAAGGCCATATCTAATCTTGTATTTTTATCCTAACCATCAGCTTTCCGAGCGTTTTATATCTCGTCCACGATTGTCTGTGCCTGTCGGACTGTCACCGGCATGCCAGACGAGCACAAAGAAGGGGCCTACAATACACTGTCGACATTTTTATATGTCTACGCCAAAAGCAATGATAATTCGAGTATTTTCAAAGTATTGATTTCGTATCGTGGATAGTGAAGTGGCGTCTTTACCGATTGACTTCCTTGAGAAAGGATTTTGTGCGGTATTTATCTATTTCTTTGCTGCTTTCGAAAGAGTGGAATCCGGTGGAGGGTAAGGGGCTTAACTGTACGCTGTACTTTGCTAGCACTTATGGGATTTAAGCGGGAGGGGACATGGGACATGAAGAGATTTACTAAAGGACCATGTATTTTTTGCGTTTGCTTAAATCTTTGTTGTAGTTAACTTTGTGTTAAATTAAACTGATTGTTATTTTGTTCCTCTGCTACAAATGAAACACTTTTTGTTTGATGATGAATGTAGAATTATAACCGAAAGTGTCGGTGACGAATACAATGATTAAAATATACAGGGTGACTCACAAAATGGGACCAAAAATGAAACCTCGTATTCTTTGGTGAATTTTAAGGGGAAACGTTCCTATAAAGTTTTTATCTATGACTCTTCGTTAAAAAGATACAGGGTGTTTAACTTCAAAAAATATTTTTATTTTTTAAAATTTTTTTGGCACTTTTGCCCCAAGTACTTAAGGTCGAAAATCAATTTAGTAAAAATATTGGGAAATTCTTCATGACAATGCCCACTATGGGTTTGCCTATTATTTGGCGTATGTGACGTCACTACTAAAAAGGTAAAACGTAGTCGTCCCTCTCTCTCGCTCTCGAAAGCTTCTACGTTCCTAATCTACTACTTCCGTAAAAATAAATGACCCAAAACAGACATTTAATTACACATTAGCGAATATTTTTCCATCAAATTAAGTGAAACTCTCTGGAGTATCATTAAACAATAACCTTCGAAAAAGCGGTTCCATTTCGACCACGATAACTTGTTAATTAATTACAAATCGATGTTTTTATCTCTACAGTTTTTTTAATAGGGCCGTTTTTATAAGGGATAGGTTCCACGAAGATGGGCTGTCTGATGTTTTTTCTTGACAAATAGAAATATCATATTTTTATGTTAGGAGAGCAAAATGCGTTTAAAAAATTGAGTTGTGTGTGATACTAATTATTTTTCTGTGTAGGGAGACGAAAGCGAAGGCAAAAATAATAAAGTATGGGAAAAAATAGGGTTAGGATATGTAATTAATCCTTGAATTTATTAAACTTATTTTCAACCAAATCGATTTTTAATCTATCGTATTTTTCGTATATGTTGTGGATTAACACCTAGAAAACTCATGATTTATAAGATTAATCGTGAACCAGCTGCGTCAGGATTAGTCAGATTACTGTCCACACACCATTTTTAATCTCATTAAATTGTTCACCCTCCTGAAAAGGTGCTTAGGAATTTTCATGTTAGTTCTACGAGATTATCTGCGTAGTTATGTGCCTGCATTACCTTTTTGAACATTAGACGAGCAAGCTCGACTACCACGAGCGAATACCGCGTTGTTTTGGTTAAATTCAAAATGATAAAGGTGCCAGTTTTATTCTCTGATGCATACGAAATAGAGAAAATAGGTACATCATCCCAAGTATATGTAGAAATCTATATAGCAAGTAAATCTACTCATATGCACATAGCATACATATTGAAAATTAACAACATAAAAATATCATATTTAAGTAGTTTTAAATTATATTTAATGAACGCATAAAGACTATGTAGATGTGGCAACAGCGCTAATAATTGACTAGCAGTTTATACATACTGCGAACCTACAGACCTCAGACATCGGAGATATTGTGCGTCAAATTCGGGTAAAGATGTGTACGCGTTCAAAAATATTTTGTGTGTGTAAACTATGTACTATATAATTATTATATTATATAGCAAATATATCGTATTATCCTCGCGAAGATTTGTATCCTTTATTTAAAATCCGTAAATCACGTGAACTGGTAAAACAACGAGAATTATGTTAATTTAGTTCTAAAGAAATGAAGTGACACTCGCGCCCATCTCTCGTCTAAGTCAAAGAAAATGTTAGATGCAATTTTGAAGGTTCTGTGATAGAAATTACATTATTACTCACTGTTCGTGTTTTTGATCTATATTTTAGTAATGTTACAAATGTTTTGCAACTATAACTAATTTTTTAGATATAAAATTTGCTGAGAAATATTTATGTTCCATTGTTATTCCGTATAAATCCTTTTATCTCAAGTATTACTAATTATATTAATCAAGTAAAGAAAACTTTATGTAACCCTAAAAATATTTCTGAGTAACGATTACGATGTTTTTATAAACCATTAAATATATTAAAAGGATTTTATCAACTGTATTTTTTATTCCAATAAATATATCACAGCTTCCTAGTCTTTTTTTAATTAATCTAGTTTTTTAAAAACATTACAAAAAATCATCTGTTGTGGATAATTTATTGTTGATAACAATGTACATGGGATTTAGGAAAAATGTATATGTTTGAAATCAATTTCGTTTTTATGAAGTCTTTCAAATGTATTCCCTCCTTGCTGTCAGCTGATTGCGACGTTGCCACATTAATCTTCAAGTCACACAGAAATGCAATTATTGGTTTCCGTTTCTAATTAATACAGCTGTACTATGTTCAAACCTTACATTAGTTTTACGTCAAAAATAAGATAATATTGTGTACTATCATATGGAAAAGTTTTGTTTCACAATTTCTACTTTTTTTTTCCTCAGTTATGGGCAAAAAAAGAGACGCACCGTCCATCTTCGCCATATAAACCTATGTTAAAATGAACAACTTTCAACAACAATATCTCAAAATCTAGATTAAAAAAAATTACAAAAAAATATGACGTACAGAGGGAGCACTGGGTAATACGCTATATAAATTTCATGTACATCTGTGCATTTGAGTAAACCCGATATACCTCCTTAAAATAAAAAGTATTTCTATACTGTGGTATAATAAGAAAACAGTCTGTAATAATTTCTATATGCTTTGTTTTTATTCGAATCTCGCGTACCATCAAAATTAATTAGTGTTACAGTTGATGGTTCATCAGAGAGAAAAAAAGCAGTTTACACCAGTTCAGTTTGGTACAAGATCATTTGCTATCCTGATTAATGTTTTTAAATATTGCGCTTGTAATAAAAAGAACTGTTCTATGAAATTTACTTAATAGATTAATTTCCCATTAATTTTTTTACGTGTCGCTCAAATGGTTGGTCGGTACGTGGTTATTATTTTTGTTGTCGGAATTCCCTGTTTTTTGTTTTCAATCCAGTTTAGTGGACATTGTTTAGGTAGGTACCGATCAGTGCCAATGCAGGTACTGGGTTGACAACCTGTACAGGACTGTCGCTGGTGTTATTCGTAGAAAATATGACCCACAGATAAACTATGTTTTCTATGAAAAATTATTCGTTTCTTGAAATGAAAAATCAACAGAACGTATACATTTTTAAGTAATTAATGAATCTACGAATGATTGTTTATTTTAAAGTAATATAAAGTTTCTAAATCCAGTATAAAAATGGATGGTACAACATTGCTAAAAGCGATTTATGGTAAAATATTGATAACATAAAGTTGAAAAACTAAGAGCGTCAGCATATGCGAAAGGTATCAGTCAACTTTTCCAAATAACATTTTATCGTTTCCAAACAGTGACGATTGTTTTTAAGTATTTTCACATATTCTCCTTGAATTTGATTCTATAAAAAAATTAAACTTTTATGTATGCTGTGTATCAAAAAAATTAAGATATTATTCCGTTGTTAAATATTGTCTCGTTTAGCTTAGTTGGTTCAAATTACGTTTGTTATTATTTATTGAAACGATTGTAAATGTCAATCCAGATGAAAGGGATGAAAATAGATCGTGCTTAGCAAATTATCATTTATTTTTGGAAGCCCAGGGAACGAATCCAGTACTAAATGGTATTATCATGACTATTTTCGGCTGCCCCTATTGTCGTAAGCCTTTGTAAGTTTTCTCTTAATCCATACATAATAGTACTAAAGGGAGAATCAGCTTAGTCGTCATTTATTGCCGCATTTGCAGTGCAGATATTTGTGGAATATTTGGAATGGGATTTTTTATAAATTCAATTTCAGTTTTGCGCAAGAATAAAATAATAATCAATAGCACATCCTGTATAATGGAAAACCAACTAAGTTTTATTTAGTAAGTGTGTTATATACTTTGGTTTGGAGTTTGGTATTTGTTTCCTTTTCTTTCGAAATCAAAAATGTAAATTTTGTGTACGTCCTTTTAAAACCACTCGCCAAGACTTAGGCGAGTTGTTAGAAAGCATGCCTTATCTCCAAATTCCAACAAATATTTGTGTTATAATTTAGTATATTAACTAGATTAAGAACTGGAGCTGTGCTAATGTAGAGGAATTTGACGAGGGTCTTTAAGAAAGTTGAAATTCGGTTGTCGTCAACTTGTAGTTTAGTGTCAGATTTATTTTACGTCTGAAGTTAATTAAGTACACGTGTCAGCCAGTTGAACAATTAATTTCTGAGAATGGCAAATTAGAGCGTACAAAAATTAAAGCGAAGAATTGCGCTCTAAAGGTTGCTTTGTTTAAAAAATTGTAATATTACCAGATTGCCTGGTGTATAGCATTAATACATGATAAGTTTTGCCAAACTTTAAAGGCATATTCTACCGTAGAAAATAATCAACTTTTGAAACATTTAAAATTATTTAAAAAACTGTTGGCGTAAAAACATATAACACATATAAATAACATAATCATAATATATATCACCAGTTTGTTTTTTTTTTGAGAAATTTTTGATAGAACTGATAAATCAGACTAATTAGCTTCCTTAAATATCCACTTTTGTGGTATTTCATGATTAGCGAAGTGTATGAATATGAAAACATTACAGAACTAATTTGAATATAGTAGGCTCGGGCGTATGTATTTATTTAAAGTACCTACTGACTTAGAGATTTACATGTATTTGCATATTCGTATCGAGCAAAATAATTATGGGTTTTAGCAATTTGTAGAGTTTCCGAGAAAAATGGTAGTATTTGTTATACATTCATAGATTAGACAATATTTTTATACCTTTTTTTATACATATTCATTGTTTTTTTTTAATTACCCATGGAATAGGTATAGAATATTGAAAATCACTTGCTTAAAATTCTCGAAATTGACATACGAAAAGCAGAGGTAGTTAGAAAAATGTTTAGAAGGACTTTTTTTCTTCAAAATGAACGCATTTAATTTAATTTTTTATTTAAAAAACGTTTTCGTCTAGGCTTATTAAATTTGTATTTGAAAAAAAAGAACCCTTTGCGTAACGAATTTGTTGAAATAATAGACAGAAGTTTGGAACCTGTTTCGAACAAAATGTTGCCTACAAGACATGATGGCGGTGAAAATCATGACTGAACAAAAAGAGGTCTCGAAAAATGATGTTTACTTATAGCTGGTATTAATGACTACCGTACCAGTGATGTAAAGGTGTCCATACACCTTGAAGAATGATCGGAAGTAAGAAAATGTATATCGCATAATAGAATAATTTTTCTTCTTTTTGTTTTTTTATATTCAATTTCCAATTTCTTTGAAATCTGTGTAAATTGTTGACTTTTTCTATTTTTATTTGTGCTATTCCTTGAGTTGTTTTTTTTTTAGAATCGATTGTATATTGTATACAACGGAAAATATACAATACAAAAAAATGGGATTGGATTTGAGTAAGACATTATTTTATTTAATTCAAAGACAATTATATTTGTAGGTTGTGACAAATAAATATTATTTATTTTTGACACTACCTGTCAAATGTCAAAAAAATACTACATTCCTGTTTTTTCCTATATTCAGCTACCTCTCTATTTTTAAAGTAAATATCTTGTGACGTAATAGATTATGAGCAAGTTGTTACAGATAACACTTATTTATGTAAGGCCTCTCTGTCTCTCTATTACTAAATAAAGGAAGAACAGTGGTATGAAATTTTAGTTGAGCTTCCAATTAACAGATGGCGCAATTGAAGCATTTTTTGCAATAATAAACAAATACTAGACAGGTTTTCCATGGCAATATTTGAAAAATATTGGTACATTTCAAAATAATTCGATATTCTTTTAATGTTGGTATTATACCTTCTTTTTAAAACCACAGACTTTCACATAACGCCATTGCAGTCACCCTACACTTCGCGGAGTACACATTCCGACCCTGCGAGTTTGCATCTATGTGTACGGCCACCTTAATTCTCGGTCCATCTAGGAATCCCACTATGAGGATCAGTTATGTAATTCTGGTTCTATTGACATCACCGAGCTTCCCAAAATACAGCTACTAGCGCCAATCGTAACATAGACTGTCTGCGTTAATATGTTAATTATTATTTGTGTGTTTGTTAAGTCTGTATTTGGTATCTGCGACTGGGAGGAATTTCCCGAGGAAGGTGAACGCCCCATACTTCTAATCAATTTATTTCCCAACACATAAAAAGGTAATCGAATCAAAAATCCATGAATTAAGTAATACTTCATTTTGCTTTTATTGGGATTTCCAACCACAATTTAGTAAACACACCTAACCGCCATTATTTGACCAGACTAGTTAATTTTTTTTGCATCTGGACCGGCTTTGGCAGGGAATTAAATAATTGGGACAGGACGGAATGTTTCGCAGATCCGTTCTGTCTCAAGGGGGGAAAAATAGGCGCTAGCAGTGGCGTAGGGGTTTTTAAGGAGTTTATTCAATTTGGATTCAAAGTCCCGTGAATGTTTTTCATTTTTAACTTATTTTTGTTTTAGTATTTCCTTCGTTTCTTTAACTAATTGTTTTGTGACATTCGGTTGTTGCCCTTTTCTTTTATGGATATAATCGAGATGTATGACAAACAAAAAATATTATTATACTTTTGGGTTTTGAAAATAAAAAATTGTAAAAAGTATAATAAAGACGTTTTTTAATATGGTAGTTTCCATATGGATTCACCGAGCAAAGAAATCGACCTATTCTATTTTTTCGAAACTTTGGGTTGTTAATCTACTTTGAATTTTATAAGACCCGCGTTTTTTCTTTCAAGTGGCTGCCAAACCATCCTATCGAAATTTTTCTTTTCCAAAATGTGCATAGTTTCATCAGCTTTTACCTCGTTTTTTCAGAATTCAAATTGCTTTAAAACTTTCTGAAATAAATGAGAAAAACGGAAAATGATACATTTTTTTTAAATTGATTTTCTCAAAAACCCTACCTTTTATTTCCACCAAATTTGGATAAGTTTTTCAAGGCCAAATAAGCTATCTTTTAGCCAAGCTGCAATATGTCTTGCTTTTTTCGGGAGATACGGTTTCAAAAATTTAAAAAAAAAATACTAATCCGTTTTTCTCATTTATCTCAGAAAATTTTAAAGCAATTTCAATTCTGAAAGGACCAGTTAAAAACTGATGAAATTCTGCACCTTTTGTAAAAAAACGTTTCAATAGGATGATTTGGGTCAAAATGACGGCCCTTGAAAAAAATATGCATTTTAATTTTCGGAATAACACTATCACGATGTAAACTTTGACACAGGGCTCCACAAAGTTTTCGGAAAACAAAAAAACATGAGTCATAAAATTCAAAGCTTCAAAAAAATCGAAAAGGTAGATTTTTTTTGTTGAAACCATATGTCTTTTATACTTCGTTACAATCATTTATTTATAAAACCGAACACATCTTGTCTTGAGGGTGTTTTTTGTGATACCTCATCTCTTCCATTGTTTAAAAAATGCTGAATAATATTAAAATTAACCCTGTTTATATTTATTACAAAATAACACTAAGATTTGCCTTATTTTTTTTTCTAATGTGCCTCCTTTTGGAAGGTGTACGTAGAGATTTACGTGTCGGTTTCCAACTTTAAAACCACCCTGTATATTTTACTCAAAGCCCACGGATCTCAAACTTTCAGGATATAATGTAGAATAATTTTTTTATACATACTTGAAGCCTTGAACTTTTTAAACTTGTCTCTCAGTTAAAAAATCTAGGAGGCTTTGGAAATGCCTAGAGACCAAAAATTGTCTGATTACGACGAGTTTCGGATTCTCGACCCCTTCAACAGAGTCGTTTCTCACGCTCCTGATCGTGCTTAGTCATGTTACTCGTTTAGAAACTAAAATGTTTTACTAGGAACTGGACCACATAGTATAACATATTAGAAACGCTTCGGTTGTCGATACACATTCCACGACTACAAAAAATCACGGGTTCATTCACACACAAGTCATCAGAAATCCGTGTGTATTCCGGTTATGAAACAGGGACCCAATTCTCTAATTTTCAATGGTCCATGTTGTATACGATTGTAGTAGAACCGCGATCTCAAACGTCGCATTCTAAAATTTTTAATAGAGTAGTAGATAGTAGATATTAGTTTCAGCCGTTTGACTTTATGATAATTTTTTTTGTAATTATTAATTTACACCCTCTATAAAAAGTTTCAGTTATTTTTTAACGTTTTACATTAGAAAACTGTACAAATACTTGCCATGCTATATATTAACTTGCAATTTTTGCGAAAAATACTCACTGTCGTAGTCTGAACTGTAGGGAGCAGCCGAAACGACTGCCAATGCGATAAGAATGGAGAAGATTACACAGAAAAATTTAATCGCTGAACTGGGATTCATCTTGGGGGACTAGAATTGAGGTACACCTGAAAAAAAAAGTCGTGTTGTACAACAAGGTTTCAAAATTATCGCACAGAGGATATATAATAGGGCCCCGAGATATGCTAAAATATGAACTCGCGTAATGAGATCTTTTGTTGCGAAATTATAAAGGCATATGGACCTAGCGGACACGCAACATGTCATTATGTTTTTGCATATTCAGTTCTGTTATGTCGAAGTTTTTTGCGGACTCAGTTAAGTTTTAAATATCTGTCAAAGGACACGAAAATAATGATTCTATTTCCGGTAATAATTGTCAACTTGATTTGAATTCTTCCAAAGGTTAAAATTATAAATCAATTCTGACACGTCTTGTATACATTAAGATACGGCGGAGTATCCATTAGAAACGGGCATGTGTATCCAAACAGTTGTTTGAAGAAGTCCCTGAGCGTTTTTTTTTTCAATAGACACTAAAAATATGTCAATTTGTCGGCAGCCAAAGAACCGAATCCATCCTCCTATACAGTTCTATTTTGTGGGGCAAGGAAATCCGCAACAAAAGGAAAACCTTAGGCGCGAGACGCAAAAGGCAGGGGAACGTGTGACATTGTCGATGGGTACGAGCACAATAGCGACGCGAAAACCTTCAAGTAATTTGAAATTAAAAGGAAATATGTGGAATATGTATTTTTCCGATGAGCGCGAACGAATCATTTCGTCGTGTATTGTCACGTACTTTATTTTTTACGGAAAAAGTTATATTTGAAGTACCGTCGGGGTTTCGCGAGGTGTTAGTCTTTTCTTTATGTATAAATATATTTCGATTCGTGAAAGTTTTCAACATTTGAAAATAGAAATTTGCCCATACCCGTATCTTATATGCATTTTTTCCTTGACCTAACATTTCGAATTAAGTTCAAATTAAGCGCAAATATTTATTTTAGATGCAGATGCTAAAGATTTGAATTTTCTATTAGATTTTTCTAAATATTCAGTCAATGACGCTTTCATAACAACTTAAATATTTTTGCCATTTTGAAATGTAGTTTAGAAATATAATTTTTTGAGCAGTTAAAACATTTTTTTATTAAAATTAAACAAATGTCAATTAGCGTCAAAGGAATACCCGTAAAAATAGACAGAAATTACTCTGATGTTCAAAATACTGCAATAGAAAATGTTGAACAAGACAGTATTATTCCTCTTCCAATTAGAAAGCAAGTAAATTTGTTATTCTTAAATTTTCCGCTAAAAATTTCGAGAGAGAAGCATGAAATAGTAATACAAAAATATATAGATTGGAGGAATTATAAAATTATATGCCTTTTTAGATGTTTACTCAATGTTATGTCGACATTAATCTTACTATTGACATATCGACGTATCCGAATCTCGAGCATTTTTGAAAAACAAGTCTGACATATTTTACCAAAAAAAACAAAAACTCTTGACATCAGGAGAAATTAATACATTTTAAAAAGAAGCAACGGATGATAGATACTTATTAACAAAGGTATTTTTCAATAAAATGCACATATTTTATAAAACAAAATGTAAAATTTAATCTATGTGGCAATCGTTATTGCAATTGCCGGCATCAGAGAATTGTGGAAGTTAGCGATTAATAATGTAGAATTGTGGAATGTCCGAAGAATTTTGCTTTCATCCAATTCCCAGAAGTTTTACAATCACCGGTAGCTTTTAGAGTGTTTGTAAAAAATATACAGCGTTTCCAAAAATTCATATTTTATTTTGTTTCCTGTTCAGATTTAAAAAAAATCGCTGAAATAGGTCAATTAGTAAATAGAAATTTCACTGTTTTGCAATATTTTCAATTTTTTTTTAGCCATGTTTGGCAGAATGTGGCACCCATTAAATATTGTACAATGCCAGATTCGGTGTTCAAAGTTATCAATACATTTTGAATAATATTTGGTGTTATGTTTCGAACTTCTTCTCTGATACGATTTTCCAATCCTTCGATAGCGTCTGGTCTGTTCACATACACATACAATATGAATTTCGTTCCAACATTTTGGAATACACTGTATAAATATCTGCTTACTTCCTACCAATGTATCGACAACTCGTTTCTTCTTAAATTAACGGAAAGGCAAACGTATACGACACGTAGTAGGAGTAAACTTTGAATAAAAAACACATTAGCCGATTTTTTTATCAAATACTGCTCTAAATAATAATAATAAAGCTGGCAGCGCTGCATTCAAGGCCAACGTGTTGGGAGCAGAACGCGTCCTCATTTTCTCAGTCAGTTGAGAACTGTTGTTTTAGTGGCGTGTTGAAAAAATGAGCGCGACTATTCTGAATCCCGCCAGATGGACAAGTCCTTTACTGGCTTTGTTCACGAAACATGAGTGGCCAAAGACGTTCTTTCGACTCAAAAAAAAGGCCCGTAAAGGGATCCTCGCTTATTTTTTTTGAGTACATTTACTTCGTGGATATGCTTCGTACGTATCTCATGTCTAAATTTCCCCCCAACTAAATTAGTTATTATGTGAGCCCGTTCCAGCTGTCATTATGGACAACGCGGGACCTCAGCTTCTCCATTGTGGCGAATCGCGTGGTCGGACGCCTCCAAACTAGTCCTAGATGGCTTACGAACACCCCGCTCTGTTGTAATATTCATAGTTGGCGGCGCGCGGACGCTTAATCTAGACGGCGTATCTGGTGCTAACTGTCCCCCAGACCGTACGCTAGGATTTAGAATTTATAACCGGGTGAAAATTTAATAAGTGACTGTCGTAAGCGGGTTTATTAAGCCGCGGTGTCGTTTTCGGGGATAAATTTTAATCAGGGTAATCATTTTTAGGGGTGATACTTTGTGTCGGATGAGCGATTCCAGGGGTTTTTAAGAATCTTGATTGTGGTCGTTAGCGGAACTCGTCTGATGTTTCATTTTTATTTAATGGTGTCGAATTAATGTTGATTTTTCATCAGCGTTTTATTTCGCGCAACGTTATCCGAGCGGATTTTTCATAATTAACAGTTTTTATAGCGATTTACTATTAACAGATCTAAAGTAATCTTCCTAAAAACAAACGAATACACAGAAAAGGGTTTGTATTATAAAATACTTGGGGTGGACCACCTTAAACGTAACACTAGTGCGAATTGGGATTTTGCCAACTTTGGACCTTTGCGTTTGTCTGTATTTGGTCAACTTGCCTGAATTTTTGATATAAGGTAGTTTGAGGTATATGATAACAATAAGTGAGAATAATTTTTTTTTCAACCCCCGGCTAGGGGTGAAAAAAGATGAAATAAAGGGGTTTTCCAAGATAACTCAAATGAGCTAGAAAAAAAAGTTTCCTATAAAAGTTGTAGAGCATAAAATTCTACATAAAAATGGTCTATTGACTTTTTCTTGTACTAGTAAAATTAACAGAGTTATAGTGGCTAGAAATTAAGGGATCATTTCAGAAATAAAAAAATCATAAGCAGAAAAATATTTTTTTCGACATACTTTAAAAAATGTAAACTTTCTTTTCAGAGAAATATATATTTTTTAATTTTTAATAAAAGAATAAAAATTTTAATTTTTTAATAGTTAATTTTCATGATTTAACTATTTTAACTCAAACAATTTTTTCTCTTATATTTTTTTTTTCAATCTACTCTAAAAAATGTAAACTATGTTTTGAGAGAAATAGATATATTTTTTAGTTTTTAATAAAAAAAGTTATAACAATTTCACAAAGCGAACATGATTTTTTATCTTTGGCGTAAAACAAAATTTCGAAAGCAACTTTTCATTATTTTAAATAATCAATCAAATGGTATAGAAAAAAATTGTTTTAGTGTTAAATCATAAAGATTAACTATTAAAAAATTCAAATTGTTATTCTTTTATTAAAAATTAAAACATATATATCTATTTCTCTGAAACGAAAGTTTACATTTTTTAAAGTAGATCGAAAAAAAATATTTTTCTGCGTGTTATGATTTTTTCATTTTCTGAAATCATCCCTTAACTTCTAGCCACCCTAACTCTGTTAATTTTAATAGTACAAGAAAAAGTCAATAGACCATTTTTATGTTCTACAACTTTTATAAGAAACTTTTTTTTCTAGCTCTTACCCTTTCTGAGTAATATTGAAAAACCCTTTTATTTCAACTTTTTTCACCCTTAGCCGGGAGTTGAAACACGGTAGAAATTCAGAATAATTGTATTGAATACACTATTTAATTTGAATAATCTCAAATTATATTTAATTTGATGCTCAGAAAAACAATGCTGTTTAAAACGAACAATTTTTTAATCGACTCGAAATTAATATGTTTCGAGAACTTTTTTCATAAACTGGGGCATCAAATCACGAAACAGGTAATGTATATTGCGTTCGGCAAAAAGGAAATTGTAACTTCCTTTTAAATAATATCCGTTAAAAGAGAGATATTAAACAGTTATTAGATTATGAACGTCGACGACGACATAACTTTTTCACCAAGTTAATTTTACAGATGAGGCAACTTTTCCTCAGAGGTTATTATTTTCGTTATTGTCTACAGCAACACGTTTCTTTATACAGTACACAAAATACGGCGAAAATCAAGTAATATTAAATAAAAATGGTCCACATTAAAGACGAAGCAATTTTTCGTTTCATGTGTATACTTTCTCTAATTACGGAAAAAAATACATATACTAACAGCAACAAAATATTTTAAAAATAAGGTATGTTGTTTAAGTGTTATTTTATACTTTTATTCATGACAAATTATGTCCAAATGTAACGAATTTAAGTCACTTGTACTAATTTCAGTGTTGCAATGGTCGTTTTTAAATAAATGCTTAAAAATAGCATTGGGAGCTTCGTGACTTGCTCTGTAGTTACCTCCGATATTGCAAAATTAATTAAACAAAAAGCGCAATCGATCAGGTGGTTATCAGGGTAATAAAATTGAGTGAACGATGGTTTTTTATTAAGGGTCTTTAATTGCGGACAATTATTTGAAAATTACTTTAATGGATTGTTGTGTCTAGTTTAAAAATCAACCAAAAGTCATAAGCCTCATGAAA